CTTGAGAGGATATGAAAGTGCTCTTTAAACTGATGTAACGCAAGGCAATCGATCACTTTGTGTAAATGGGTTACGAAGCTTCAAAAGCAAAGATCAACAAGTGGAAGAATTCATTTAAATTGTTTATTCCAGTGCTTGGAGGTAGCAGTCCTACTTCATTGTACATACTGGCAAGAGCTTACCTGAGTCAGCACATTTGGTAAACATAAATCCATTTTGCTTTGGGAGGTAAACATCTTTCATTTCCGAGCCTCGATAATGGACCGGGGCTTTTGAGTGTGGATGCGAGCTGGTATGTTTAATATTAATGATGATGCATATACTGACGACTCTGTTAGGATCTAACATTTCTCATCCACATCTGTACTAACTTTAAAACTGTGCTTTTGTAGGTGAGGCTTGAGCCCTTAAAACATATGATCTCATGCCTTCTCTGTGGAAAGAGTAATTAGATACCACATACTACTAGTAAAACCAACAGTATCTTAGTAACAATTCATTTAAAAAAAATTATATAATTAGATTTTTAGTACTGCAGTTCCCACAGTTATTGATATAACAGAATTAAGATAGACTCTAACGTAATTTGAATATTACACACTTAAAGTGAGCCATGTGTGCTCTGACAAGAGTCTGTAGGAAAGCTTACAAATGCACGGAGCAGTGGGTGCTTGCAGGAGCGGTTCAAATTAGTGTCAAACCAGACAATGTTGAATATTGTGTATTTGGTCCCACTGTGCAGTCCAACCAGTGAGAAATAACAATGTGTCTCTCATTCACACTGACAAATGGCAAATCGTTTAAACAAGGAAGTCCACATTCTAATCAGACCATCTACTACACAAGGAGCCTCTTACATAATTATGAAGTTACAGTCAAGCATTGTTGAGTTAGGTTTGATAAATGTCTGCGTGAGAGAGGAAGATGGCTATCCATCACGCCCTGCATAAAATGTTCCATAGTGGCGTGGCTGCACTCTAAAGGAATCGCTGAAGGTTTTATAATCAGATAACACTGGGTAGATCCTTACCCTGTCTGCGGACTTGCTCTGAGCCGCATGCAAGTCGGTGCCATGGTGAGAACTGTTGTTGTGGGAGTTCTCCTGAGGAGAGCCACTGGTCCCTGCAACAAAGCCACTTGTCAAAGGAGAGAAAGCAAACGAGGCTCTGCTAAGAACTAAATCCTCAGGGAGAGTCACAACTGCACAACAGGGAAAAGAAATCAGCTTGCCTTTTGTTATTTTAGGCTTATACTTGCAGTTTACATTTACGTCTTAATCTGATGGCAGTATTATGGGAAGCTTTTTTTCCCACAACATGACAACTGGCAGGGGTGACCAGAGTCTTCATGACAATAACACATGACAGAAGAAGTTCACATATTATGTCAGGGACCAGCATAGAAACAAAGACAGGGTTGACCTTTATGCCTATCTGAGCCCATCTGTGGTTACCGTTTCCCCTTCATAACAACCGCCTGAGATTAATCTTGCAATGGCATGCATGTGCAATGCCACCAGACTCACCGTTTTTCCCTCTGACGCTGTGAGAGGGTTTCGCCTTGCCATGTCCCGTGCCTTCCCCGTGTCTGCTGACAGGACTTTCGTCTGAGCGTCGCTGCATCTTGTAAGGGGGCACAGGATCTGACGACCCATCGCGCACCTTGTCGTAGCGGTGAAGGCTTGTGGCCTGGCTCTTTGGCTGAGATTTATGGGTCTAAAAAGGACAGTGCACAGCAGAATTGTTGAGATATGCTCAATCTCACACAGTGGTGTTCTTACCTCTCAATCAGGAGACCCTTTAAGTTGAATTAGAGCATTTTTATTTTTATTGTCATTCTATTGACATTTCTAGTAAATTCTTGTTTTGATAGAGTAACTGAAACACAAGGGCTGAAGTAAGACAGTCCACATATGAATTACCATTGTGATCAAACTGAAATGTATCCAGACAGTTGCTGATCACCTGCACACTGTGCTGACCTACGTTTATGGATCGTCATGACAGGTGACAGCTAACAACCTGAACATGACATACCTGATACGATTGGGGATCCCTTCTGTCGTTGCACCTGTGGAGACACACAGAACAAAGGTTAGAGCAAGATCTCAATGACGTTTTTTTATTTTCTATTTGTCACTTTGAAAACTGACTTTCTGGAGCATATACAGTTAGCTAAGTAGCTAGCGTTAGCCAAGTTAGCCTGACTTGCCATCTTATCATGATGTGTTAGCTCATACTGTAGTTCACATTGAATCGGTAATGTTTAAAGTATATCTTACAAATACCTAGAATAGGCAGGATTTACGATGTGAATACTATTAGGTGTAACGGTAGTCGACCAGCTAAGGTACATATCCGGAATCAACGGCTAACTAATTGCAGGCTAACCATGCTAGCTAACGGCTACAAGTAAACCTTAAACGCACAAATTAAATCAACGGCGTAAGAAAAACATGTTTCAAACGCTACGGTCTGAGTCTGATTTACCCATCGCTGACTCTTGTTGGTTTCCTTGCATACATCACCATCAAGACCGTGGTGATGTGTGTATGTGTGTGAGGGGGAACCGTGGCCTCCTGACTGCCTGGCTGCTCTCACAGCTCTTTTCTTCAGCTTCCTGATGTCTGCACTCAGTCTGTCCTGCCAAACAGAGAGCTAAAAGTCACGCACCGAATACCAGCACTGCATAGCGGCTGGTCTTTACTGAAAAAGAAAAACAAAAAAGAAACACCCTCAGTGCACCATCTGCCATGCAGTTACGGTATACGCTAAACTCGGCCGATGTAGTTCAGCGGAAGGCAGCAGATGGAGGAGGAAACGGTGAAGGCAGTAATGTTTGGCTAGGAGGATGAAGTTCCTGTTTGTCTTTTCAAATTAAAATACAATTTTAGTTATGCGTTTAGAAGATTATTATTATTATTATTATTATTATTATTATTATTATTATTGTTATTATTAACGAAAAGAAAGACATGTATTATGTGAAACAGAATATCGCAAAAGAACTTCCACTCTTCCGTTTTAAAATTATAAAATATATGCTTAAGTCAAAACCACAAGTAACTGGGTTATCATTTTTAAATAAGTAATTATACTTTTTATGCGATGCTGGCAAAATGGCACAGAATAACAAAAATAACCGCACGTGGTTCTCTAACAAAAAGTGTTTGATTTTCACACCTCACCGTGGCATTTCCGCGTTGATGGGCTATTATTTTGAAGGAAGTCTCATCATATCCCGTATGAGCTCAGCTGTGTCTGGATAACGTGACGCAGTCTGTCAGTGCTGCTGTTGGCTGCTCAAAGTTCACCTCACGTCTCGGTAGTTTTAAGTTGTCAAGTGGGACTCTGCTTCAGCCTGCACGCTTTGTCGCTTTTGTGGTGTTGTCATATAGCTCCCGCACGAACACTTTGCCCAGCGTGAACAGGCCACAGCAGGCTAATATGTCCATTTTCTTACCACCCCTGGTTTTTGGCCTAATTGATACGTGGTTTATGTAGAATAGGGTAGTTGACTATAAATGCAATGAGTCCAGGGCATTTATAGTCAACTACTCAGATGTCTGGAGTCTACTGAGACAAGCACTGTACAGGGTTCCTGATGGACAGTCTGAACTTTGTGACCAGCGATATCTAATGCAGCTGTAGCTATACAGTGTATTCCATTATAGTAACAGAGACCCCAACATCACCATTTTCAAAATCAGAACATCCATATGTTTCATCATGTAAGACGACATCTAGTACTAATATTGTGCATGACTGAGTGTCTGCAGTCATATGTGGGTAGCTGAACTGAAATAGGTCAACATTAAACTCCATGCTGTGTAACCTCCATGATGTGATTGGCGTATCGATTGCCTGCTGGCTTTATTTGTGTCAAACCGAACACATATTGATGGAATAAGAGACGGTCTTTCTTACATTGCGGTCAGTGGAACAGTGCATAACCTTTCAATACAAGTGGATGTTCAAACACAGCCTGTACTCTTTACATATTTTAAATGATATGGCTTGCATGACCTGGCCCTTATGGGATGGACAGTCTCTGGTGAGTGCATCCTTCTGTTGTTTTGCTTAGCAGTAACTTTTTTTCTACGTAAACACTATTGGAATTTAAAAAAACAAAATAAGACAGAAACATCCTTTATAATCTTTGTAACATGGCCTTGGAATATTAAAAGAATTAAAACTAAATCCTAGATAATCAATGTTGAGATATTCTATTCAAGGTGTTTCATTTTTGAACTGATTTTAGTGACAGAGCATTAAAAAATTTCTCATGATTTTTACTATTTGTTGTTAATGCGTATGAACATTCAAAATATTCATTATTATATTATTTCACATGTTTAAATCAGTTTTACAGTATTGTGTAGCTTCAAACTCTTTGTACCTGATACTTGCATGCATGAGTAACAACAGAGTAACTCATACATAAATGAGTCTGTTGTGAGAGTGCAGGCCTTACTGTTTTTGGTTTTCACATACATTTCCAGCCCAAGAACAGATTTTTAGATATAAATCTAAAACTGAACCCGTGCAAAGGTCCTGCAGACATTATCCTCTACCCACGCTGGTGGATAGATCATGGGTAAAACTGTTGTACAAGCAAAGAAAGCAACATGCATTTTTATATATTTATTTTGAGATCTAAACTGAAATGTAATAACTGAGCTTTGTTTTGATCTTTTCCTGAAATTATTGCAAGAAATATTGATTATTTAAACACGCCAAACTGAAATATATATATAAATAATATATATAAATAATGGACATGGCTTTGTTGATACTTGATAAGAACTGTTACAATAAAAATCAGCAATAGGGGGCACTAATATCTCAGTATGTTGTTCGGGGCCATCTAAAGACAAATACACTCTTTCCTTTTTCCTTTTCACATGTGGTACATTCCCTCTTTACACAAGAAAAAAGAGAGAGTTTAAGTCTGCTGAGATGGTTTCTTTGTCCTTTTTTTTCTTCTATTCTTAGGAGGGATGCTAAACCAAACTGAGCATAGAGGTATGTAGAATATAGAATATGAACCAGAGTATGGTTTCATTATATCCTTTTCCTTATATCCTGTGTGATGAGCACAGTGACACTGAATCTTCCATATAGAAGGCTTTTAATCACACCTTTCGTTTAACCTCTGACCTCTCTCATCTGGCTTCTGACCTCACCTTCTGACCCTCAAAAACACAACCTAGAAGATAAGAGCAGGTGCAGGTTTGTTCGTTTGGGGCAGGGATAGCTCAGTAGGTAAAGTGGTCGCCCCATGATCGGAAGGTCGGCGGTTCGAATCCACTTAACGGCTACCCTGAGGTACCCCTGAGCAAGGTACCGTCCCTACACACTGCTCCCCGGGCGCCTGCTTAGTGGGCTGCCCACTGCTTCACTGAGTGAATGGGTCAAATGCAGAGAAAAACAAGTAATTTCCCCATGGGGATCAATAAAGTATCCATTATTATTATTATTATTGTACGTGTGCTTATGCATGTCCTGCCACTTACCCGGTAGGCATGTGCATGCTGCTATCATCAATGATGTCTGGAACTGAGCCACATACCGACAGAGAGGAGGACTACAGGTTTCTCCACAGCATGCTGATGGAGAAGAAGCTTCACTTGCTCTTCAAGGTGAACGCACGTTTGTGCTGTAATGAGCTGTGATCACTCAATCTGTCCATCCAAGTCACAGAATTCACTTCATTTAAAGTGAATTTGGTATTCAGATCCTATTGTTAGCAGTATTATGTGTTTATGTTTTATTATGTACAAGTAATGCCACTGGATTAGAGTGCTGTTAATATTATGTACACTGGAAAGTGCCACAATATGTACTTCAGGTACATATTATGCACAATTAAGATACTTATGATTATAACTTATACTTAAGTAAAATGATTAAATACTTATTTTCCAGTCTGCAGATGACAAGAATTATGCACACACACACACACGCACACACACACACAAATTCGATGCTGAGTTTAACTAATTTAATTACATGTAAACTTTCCATGAAATGTTGTTACATAAATAAAATCTGGTCGGGGGCTGTTCTGGAAGTGATTCAGGGCAACAGGAGTCTCATGGTGGCCTTAGCTCAGCAGTTGCTCTTAATCATTTTTTCCCTTAAAGGCGTCAGCATTTACAGGATTTAACTGTAAAAAGAACAGTGTCCTGTATTTTTTTACAGCAAGTGCAACAGTGTACTATATTTTCCACCAGTCTCAAAAACAATAAAACCATATCACAGATTCACTACAGCTGTGTGCTTTATTAAAGGTTTATATTTACAGTACTTTGGGATTTTTTAAATTTCTTTAAATCTATATTAGTAGCCAGTTGTTTTCACAGCAGTAGTATTAGTAGTTATTGATAAGTAACTAGTAATAGTTAAAGTTCCCCTTTACTGCAGAGAAAAGCTCTTGCATGATCCTCTCCTTACTTGCCAGATTCACGAGCAACTGAAGCGTTTTGAGAAGCGAAGCCCCGTCCCCGTCCAGGAGCACGCGGCGAATCTGGCCTCAAGTGTAAGTGACCGTCTCCAAACATCTTTTGCAGATAGACACACTGCCGAGGATGACAGCTTGACAGAAGAGGGAACAGAGGTTACCTCACCAATGGTCTTCTCTCACTTTCCTGTCACAAAGAGGATTTCTTCTTATGTGTGCTGAATTATGAAATGTTGTCTCAAGCGCTGTCACCTTAGATATCATCGTTTGAAAAGGCTGTTTTAAAGGAGTTTTTTTTTTTCTTAACTCATGAGCCAAGAGTTAGATCATTGAAGACTGAGCACCAAGCGGGAGCCGCGGAAATCATTCCATCTAATGTTTCAGGAAAACAATTAATTTCAGATTTAGGCTGACGTGACAGACAGATGTGCGTCATCCTCACTCCTGTTACCATCCCGTCTTTCTTTCATTTTCATCCATCCCCATGACTAATTTGTATATTTCGATTAACCCTCACCTTTATTTCTGATTTCACCACCTTTGTCCTGGACAATGTCCAAATTGAATTTTTTTTAACCCTTTTCCCTTCCATATATTCTTCTCTCCACCCCTTTTCTTGTTCTCTTTTCCTTCCATTTCTTCTTTTTTTCATATCCATATACTGTAATATCTGCCATGTTTCCATTCTGTCTCTCTGCTACACTCCCCCACTTCAGCTCCCTCCCTTCAGTCCCCTTGCTTCAGATTCAGTACGACAGCCACTCTCTGCCTGGCTTAAATCATCAGGACCTACTGCAAGGGCCAAACCGAGGTTCTGTTTCCCCTCAGAGAGGCTTCTGTTTGCTCACAGTGGAAACTAATGACCTTCATGCATTGTGTCTCTGGAGTGTGCCTCGACATCTTGAAGCAGTAGAAGTCATTACAGTAATATGCCTGACAAGACGGGCGACTGCACACAGTCACTCGCCGCCTCTCCACTTGCTGCCGACGGTCAAGGCTGCTCTGTTTTAGCTGTCACCACAGCTGTCGTGTAGCCTTGAACATTCAGAAGTGTTCTCTTTTTTTTTCCGACAGTGACTCGAGACGCAAAGCTAAAACAGGAAACAGACAAATGGCTCACACCAGGATGAGAAAACTCCCCGTGAGGCAAACAGGGTTTTAGGAAAGTGTCTGAAATAACGACAGCACTGACGTTGTGTCCGGCAGATATAAATTTCATGAACCTTTTATGCGTTTTTGCTTGTTCCCCTACCTGAAAACGTCACAAAAGCCTTAACATAAAAAGAGTACCTCTAATTATAAACATCCGACCTCTCCCTTCTTCCCTGTTCCAGTTGGCAGAGGAGCTCATATACCAGGGTTGGAGAGAGGAAGTCAAAGAGCTGCTTGCCCTCATTTCCAAACCCCACTTTCAGGTAAAAATATTTCCTTCCACAGTGACATGTTACTGTAACTTCACATGTGTCAAGCTAAAGCTTCCCCTCTCCTGGGCCAGTTATATAGCATTTTTAGCAAAGGTAATATATATATATATATATATATATATATATATATATATATATATATATATATATGTGTGTGTGTGTAGCGGTTCCGAATGACAGCAATATCAGGAAGAAGGAACACGAGAAGCTGGAGAAATACCAAGGGCTCAGAGAAGAGCTCGAGAGGATGTGGAGGGTGAAGGTAATGGTGGTCCCCGTGGTAATCGGAGCACTAGGTGCGGTGACTCCCAAGCGAGTGGCTCCAGCAGATCCCGGGAATAACATCGGAGATCTCTGTCCAGAAGAGCGCAGTCCTGGGAACAGCTAAGATACTGCGCAGGACCCTCAAGCTCCCAGGCCTCTGGTAGAGGACCCGAGCTTGAAGGATAAACCGCCCGCAGGGGCGTGCTGGGTGTTTTTTTTTTATATATATATTACCTTTGCTAATAATATATATAATATATATACAGAGGTAAAGCGTGTCATCAACATGTTGATCCCATATTTTTTATTTTCAGCAGAACACAGAAAACACAGCAGAGATAATGCACCATTTTAAGAAAAATATTAGCTCAATTTGATTTTGATGGAAGCAATGTGTCTCAAAAAGGTTTCCCAGGGACAAATTTACCACTGTGAAACACCCCATCTTCTTTTAACTACAGTCTGTAAATACCTGGGAACTGAGGAGACAAGCTGCTGGGTTTTTGGGAGGGGAATGCTGTCCCATTCCTGTCTGATAGTGATAATATTCTAGTATTGTCTTGGATGAGAGTATATGTTGTTCTAAAACCTTTCAGCATTCATGGTGCAAGCTTCCAATTCCATACCAGAGATGCAGGCTTTTGAACTGAGAGCTGATAACAAGCCAGATGGTCCCTCTCCTCTGTAGTCCAGAAGAATTTTGAACCGTCTGACCACAGAAAGGTTTTCCTCTTTTCTTCGGTCCTTTTCAAAAGTACCCGATAGAGCTTTAACCTGCATTTATGGATGGCATAGTGAGCTGTGTTTACAGGCAATGATTTCTGAAGCATTCTGAGCCCATGCAATGCCTGTATATAAAATGTCATTGTATCTACTCTGGTCAACAGCATCCACGCTTCGTACTGATGTCCACAATTCCATTTATATTTCTCTCACAATCCAGGAGCACCTCCAGAATTATTTCATATGGGAGGCACTTAAAATATTGGGGTGGCACACTAAAAACAGAATTTCCAGTTTTGTTATGCTGTTGGCAAATATAGGTTACTTGAAAAATATGGCAAAAAAAGAGGGGGGAAAAGAATTATATGCCTAGTTAATTTCCAGCTATTAAAGTTGAGCGGTGGCCAGTGGCCCCCCTGACCCCTCTTGGTGCGCCCCTGTCACAATCAAAAAAACAAACAAAATCATTTCACTAGTACATATGACATCCATCTCGGACCTTCTTTTAACAAGGTGTACAAGAACTTAAAGTTAACCAGCACAATTTTACCGTGTACACCTTGTAAAACTAGCAGTAGAAAAATTAAAGAGCTTAAAAAATCTGCCGCGTTATCGTTCTCTCTTGTCCCTCCCACTCACCACTTCCTGTTCTTCTAAATCACAGAGGAGGAGACTACTCAGCAATGATTATTTTAATAGAAACGCTTTAGCGAAATTTATCAGTAGACTTTTAAATGACCTTGAAGGTAGTAGTAGTATAAGGTAACTCCCAACTCTTGGGGGCGATTGTGGCTCAAGAGTTGGGAGTTCGCCTTGTAATCAGAAGGTTGCCGGTTTGAGCCCCGGCTTGGACAGTCTCGGTCGTTGTGTCCTTGGGTAAGACACTTCACCCGTTGCCTACTGGTGGTGGTCAGAGGGCCCGGTGGCGCCAGTGTCCGGCAGCCTCGCCTCTGTCAGTGCCCCACAGGGTGGCTGTGGCTACAATGTAGCTTGCCATCACCAGTGTGTGAATGTGTGTGTGGATGACAGGTTGTGTAAAGCGCTTTGGGGTCCTTAGGGACTAGTAAAGCGCTATACAAATACAGGCCATTTACCATTTATAAGTGTACACAAACATAAAATAAATAAAAGGAAAACAGACAGAAATCAATATATGATCCCACATGCTTCTGGTGTTGTCATTTTGATAGTTTAAACATTTCTTATGTTTTCTACGCTATATTGTAAAAAAAATCATTGCAATCTGTTTTATTTACATTTATTTACGTTTTACATGGCATTCTGACTTTTTCAGAATTGGTTAAAGGCCTGTAACACTATGCCAGTGCACATTCAGCAGTCAGCCAGTATATAAGCTGGTGAAGAGCTGCTCTGTCAGTGAGTGGGACAGCTTTGAATGGTTTGCCTGAGGATGAGATGAGATAAGATGAGTCTTTAAGCAACCAGTAAGTAGCAAGTGTTTGCCTGTAGCAGAAGTGTTTTCCCTTTGACTTGGTTAAACATCTCCTTTACTTTTCAGGATATTTTAGCTTGTGGTCCTTTTGTTTGGCTGAAATAGCACTGCAGCAGACTCTGTGAGTCGAGTCCTTAATGAAATATTATTTTCTCACAACTCACTCTATTTGGCTTTTTCCTTTCCTGGTTATACTAATGTTAGTCCCCTCATCTCCTAGCCAGGCACTTAGCGAACAGCATGAAAGGTGTGTATAGTGGTGGATGTGGTTCTAATATGCAGTGCTTTGAGTATAAAAGTGCTATATAAGTAAAGCTCCATTTTTAGGATGCATTGTAAAGAATTTCATGTGGTATGGACGTCTGTGATTTGCAGTGAGCCATCAGGAGCCCAGCCACTGGACCTGTTTTAATACTTCCTGGTTTGTCTTGCTCTAAAGCTCTAAAGCTGCAATTGTTGCAAATGTCGTAACAAGAGACAAGATTTCATATTTACCCAGCACACCCAATATGAAACATGGAAATCTTTAGCTGCTGATAACTTTACACTTTGCTGCAGAGAGATAGATCAGAAAATCAATACTGCCCTCATGCCTGTCTTTTAACAGCCAGTTAGCTTAGCTTAGCAAGAAGGCAAAGAGTGACCTAATTGGAGATGCAGTTAACTTGTTTTATTAGAAAAAACCGACACAAAAAATGGAACAAATATTCATTAGAATAGTTTGTTATTTTTCCCCGTTTACAGTTTTTATCTTATGCTAGTAATTCACAGCTTCTTGCTATTTTCAAGAGCGATAGAAAAGAGGCTTCAGTCTTATCTAAGTATTCAAGGAACTGACTCTTTTTGCTAAACACAAACATTACTTGAACTGTGAAAGGGTGCATGTTTCTTCCACAAGGATTTTCAGATATGATGATGAAATATGAGATATGAGACGAAATGAAAAAGCAGCCAAAATAACTTGTTGCTTTGTTCACTTCTGTCTCAGCTCTCCAGCACCAAAGATTCAATAGCAACAATGAAAAGTAATTGTGTACTTCTCAGTAATTTTTTCCAAGATAGTTGACATTAAAATTGTAGCTGACAGCTCAATCTCCGTTCATGCTACAAGCACACATATACATTAAACGACTTACACTATATGTTTCCTACAATCCACTCTTATATGAGTCACTCTAAGTGGCAAATTAATCTGACCGTAAAGTTCATTTAAACTGATTACACCTCATCATTCTGCAGCTGAGAGGTGCTGACATCTATTAACCACACTAGCACTGAAGCTAATCTACTCCCGAGTTATGTTTATTAGTGTGCACTCATATAGTGGTCCACACTCCTCAAACGCACAGTTCCTTCTTTCGGATCTGCTGACAGTCATTTTTCAGATGCACATACACATACACGTAGCATACGTACACAGCGCATATGGTTTTCCAGTGAACTGCAGAAGTTGTGGCTTTTCCTAATGAGGAGCAGAAGCCAGCCGACAACTAACAGGTTTGTTTGAACAGCCCTAATGACCTGTTTGTTCTTGGCCACAGTGCACGGGCTCGCACATACTTATAAGAGACACTGGGTATAATATCCTGTAAATGAATGTTTGTTTTTTTAAAACCTGTCTGTGAAAGTGGCCAGAGACACGTTGCTCACTCATTGGCAGCTTTTGAGCAGAGTAACTGTTGATGGATATGCGGATAACAAGTAGACTAACTGACAGATGGATTGGCTGATTATTAAAATTAAGTTGATGAGCACATGTTCCCCCCCTCTTCTCATTCTTTCATATTACAGTAAATGACCTTCTTGTTTGGAACTGCATTTTGCACAGGCTCGCAGAGAGAGGGATTAACATTTATGCTGTGTGTTGCTTTTCAGCAAACAAAACCGGGGATTTCACACTGCCAAAGCAACCATATCAAAAAGAATTTAAATGAACTGCCTGGGTATTGATAGCAAGTCAAAGATCTATTCGCTGGGAAGTGATCCTTTATAAGATGCGCGATGTCTGAGCTGAGCCAGATGGCTGCAGGCAGAGCCAGTGTTAGTGATGAGGGGGAGCTGCTTTCAGGTGGCCCACAGGCTGGTGGTACATTCCAAACTAAATCAGGCTGACATTCCAGGAGGAAACTGCTGCCTCTGGATTAGGTAAGTGTATTCGGGGCGAAGCTTGGCTGTCAACCTTTCTAAGACTACGCTTTACCTAACAGATGATCTAAACGTGTAAGCTGGTGACATTAGGGACACTGGGGATAGCGGGGACAGCAGTTCTACTGCCTACCTAAATTCAAACTGGACAAGTTTTCCAATGACACCTCCAGCATTTGTGCACAGGCTGAATCTGACAGCAGCTTGACAGCCTGCATGCCTCATTATGTTCAGAGTATGTATGGCCTGGGACACTTACAGAGGAGTATTTCTTTTCGGTGCATGTCAGATTGATTGGACTCAGCCCAGTGTATTTCCAGGATCCCAGAATGCAAAGTGACATTAACTCAAAGCTGAACACCATCTTGACTGTTTTTTCTATTCCTTTTGCAGAGTCTCCTGCATGTCCATGACGCTGTAGCTCAGAGAGACTTTGAGCCTGTTCTGCCACCCATACCTGATGACGCACTGGAGGACGAGGAGGATTCGGTCAAAATTGTCAGTTTGGTCAAAACCAAAGAGCCTCTGGTCAGTACAGTCTGCTCAAAGGTCAGGTTTTAAAAAAGAAACCGACAGAGAGAGAGCCACGATGCAGCGGTTATGTGAATCTTCATTTAACTCTTAGCAGCGAAACAAATAAACACATTTGATACAACTAATTTCCAGTGACAGAGGCCAGAGGCCGGTTACAAAAACGTCATGCCGAGAAAATGAATTCCTTCTGTCTGTGCTGCGTGCCAGCTTGTCTCTAATACGGCCTGCCTGGTCTCAGACCTCACGCAAAACATAGAGAAATGCAAACATTTAGGTCAAAGCTACCATGTAACGAGGCGACTGTGCCTAAAAATGCGCAATTTGTCCAGCCACATTAACTGACACACACGGGCAATCCAGCGCAATGAGCACATCTAATAGGTTGAAATTTTCTCCAGGGACTGAATTCATGCTGTGTTGCTGAACAGCGTGACTGCTAAAGCAGCGTATGCCAAGGTGTAGCGGGACGAAAGCCTTTGACAGGATCACATTTGCCTCTAGGCTGAAACATAAGGCAGCTTTCCTCAGCTCAAAATTTACAGAGTCAATTCTTCCACATCTCTTTTGCCATATATCTGCAGAGACGAGCGGCACGGTTCCAGCATTGTTGTGCAGATGTGTATGGTGTGCAAAACTTGTGTGTATAAACAGCAAAAAAAACCCAAAAAAACCCCTCTTAATGGCATTTTAAAGCCGTTCTGCTCGTTTAGAATGATTGTTACTGATGAAGATCAACTAGTTTCGAGGTCTTTAATCAAAGCTTATTTTCTCGATGGTATCGGAATGATTCCCCGTATTCAACATTCAGCCATTGTCAGGTTTTTTTTTTTTTTTGATATTTCCTGGATCAAGTGAAACGGGGCAGGAAACCAGTAAAACTACAAAGCGTGCATACCTCTGCCAATGCCACAAATCCTCTAAATTTGTTATTATAATCAGTTTTTTCAGTTGCTTCTGGATCAAAATCTCCATAAAGTCAGTGATTGATAGCAGTGGGGTTCATATGGCAGGGTTTTCCCCCATTCAAGTACGCCCAGTAGTTTATTAGAAAATAGAAGAAATGTCCCCAAATGCAAAGTGAAAATTTATTTTGAAAAATCCTGGATCTACATCACAAAACCAGGCTTTTCTATTATTTCGAGCTTTACTTTCCAACAGATGTCAGTGAATTCTAATGGCAGCTTTCTGAGATATCTCACTAAGCAAAAGACAAACAAACAGCGCAGAAATCCCAGCGATGGGTTTAATTTAAATATGTTTTCAGGATAAATATGAATGTAATTTACTTAATGACGGACATTTTTGCTTTTGTGTGTGTGTGTACTCCTGTGTTGGTGATTGAGCTTCCAAAAGGCTCTTCGGACCAATAATGGAGAACATACTTTTGTATTGATCCCAAAATTAGATTGGAAGGGGACTGACCTTTTTCTGACATAGCCTCTTTGATCAATCCAACATGTTTTCCAGACAACAGGGTTACACCCGAGCATGAGCTGATTGTAGTCAGCTACATAAGATGCTCTTTCCATTGCGATTTGCTCCACATCAATAACATCTGTTGAAAATAATGCTGATTTGAATAACCTTTTCCAGCGCTTTGTGTGTTACATGAAGGCAGCCGCCTAAATGGGCCTGTCTTGATACAAATAACCTTCCTTGGAATCAGGGGACTTTAAATAAGAAGCTTGTCTAGGCCCTAATAAATTCAACATGTTACTTTCACTCGCCATCGTTTGACCTCTTTGCCTCTCTGCATCTGCTCGTATGCTTGTCCATTCATTCACTAATCACTGTCCTTAAGGGAGCAACAGTTAAGAGGGATACATCCACCGGGGCTATTGTTGTGGCGAGGATCATGAGAGGAGGCGCAGCTGACAAAAGCGGTAAGCTGATAGACTCTTGATTGCAAATATGCTTCCTTTCATCCTCGCTTACATTAGGTTGCAGAAACGCTGTGATTGTACATTTCCATGTTTTAAAGAAAAGCATGAGGTACAGGTTTCCATATTAATCTCCAATGCTTTGAAGGCCTCATCCATGAAGGCGATGAGCTGAAAGAGGTGAATGGAGTCCCACTAGAGCACAGGAAGCCAAAGGAAATCCTTCCCCTGCTGGTTAGTCTCACATGTTTTTTCTCATTAAGCCACCAAAACCAATAAACCTTTCCACGTTACTTAAACTTTCACTTCTGTAAAAAAATTGTTTACCTAATTACAATATTTCTGTAAGGTTGACCACATTTTTTGGTTTTGAACAGATTACAGTAGCGTGTTACTTGCCTAACACAAGGCTGGGTTTGTGAACTGGAACTCTTTGCTCTGTTAGCCAAATGTGTTAACACCTGCGCTATCAAATAAAGAGAACTCAGCTGACAGTTAGCTAAAACATCATGTGCCATCATCCTGCCATTCCGGCCAGTTCAACAGCCCACTAAAAAGCAGATAATCTTATGGGGTCCAACCAAACTCAAATATTCAGTCTAATGAAAATACAAGCGATGGTGATGTAAATATTTTGAAAATTTTATTCCAAAAACATAAACAACACAGGCTATTTGCAATAAATTGCTACCCAGTCATGTGCAAAGTGTTAAGGCCTACTTGTGACACCAACTTCAATACAAGAGCAATAAATCTAGGTTAGAGTAAAGAGCAATATCACAAGCTAACCACATTTTTTTAACTTTTCTTTGAGGTAAAATTTTGTAGGATCAAGGCTAGAAGTATATTGTAACATGTAATGAAAAACATCTGAGTAGCCAGAACTCTATAAATCTTACTTAAGGTAAAAACACGAGGAAAAACTGAGAAAACATCAAATGCTATCACATCAATCATGCTGCTAATATTTTGATTTCTCTCAGACTGTTTACAGTCTTCATCGGTGGCTCTATCTTCAAATTCATTTTTTCCTACTTTCAATTTAAAGTGAGATTTATTTGTCAGTAAAAAAACAAACCACAACAAAATGTTTACTGTTGCTACTTTGAGCAATAGCTAGCTTAGCTTAACAGCTAGAAACAGGACGATGTAGCTAGCTAAAATAATACAAAAGTACTGTGGTGATTGTGCAAGCCTAAAAAATAAAGAAGTATGCCAATAATTAAGGTTTAAAAATGCATATTTATTTAATGTTTTAATCAATTTATTGTTTAAGATTTTCACAGATCCAGGCAATTTGTTCCCCTTGTTTCGACTGTTTTGTGTAAAAATATGAAAGAGGTACCTCAAACTGTTGCTTTCATGCCACTGTGTTTGTGCAGGCTCGCTCTAAGGATGAAGTCAGGTTCAAAATTATTCCTGCATACTCCAGGGAAGAAATGTCAACAACTAAGCAAAAGGTACAAAGAACATTAACCATAACACTCGTGCTAGTGTGCGTTGTGCATGGACATTAGCATGCGATGCGGCTGCATGGAGAAAACTGTCCACCTGGTTTCAGTAAAAAATGTATGAAATCAGCGATATCTCGTGTGTTGGGTTATGTTTTGTGTTTCTGCCACAATGCTGTCACTGCTGCTGCAGGGTTCTCAAGAAGTAAGCACAGATCAGACCATCAAGGATAAGATGCTAACGTCATTACAACTTACAGCTTTTTATCATTTAAACGTTTAAACTGTACTGACTCAATTTAACATCAACAATGAATCCCTATCTTATGTGGAAAAATTCAAGTTCAACAATCTTAGCTAGAACTAATTGTAGGCCATCTTCACCACACAGAGTGTATGTCCAAGCTGGAAACTGTTAGAGCAGCTAGAGAGCATTTGCAATGGATTAAGACAAATTATTTTCAGTGATTGTGGTCATTTCTCAAAACTGACACCGACATATGCAAAGAAACACCAGCGCAGTCCATTGCCAGAATACAGAAGTTCGTGAAGCTGCTGTGGAAAAACAGAAATGTGAATAAATAAATGAAAAAAGGCATTGTGTGTTTTCCTTTCACCAGTTTGTCTGCTTGAAGGCTGTATAATGCCATAGTTTTCTTTCCTCAGCTGTTTGTGCGAGCTCTGTTTGACTATGATCCCAATCAAGATCCTAGCATTCCATGCAAGGACGCTGCACTCACCTTTAAAAGGGGTGACGTCCTCCAGATTGTTAGCATGGAGGATGACACCTGGTGGCAGGCCTGTCACCTCGAGGACAGCAACGGTGGAGCTGGGCTCATCCCCTCGAAGGAGCTGCATGAAAGGTCTTTTTCCTGCTTTTAAGTCACTTGACTTTAAAATTCTGAATGGACACACCTATCCTGCTTTCATTCTGCCTTTCTTTTTTTTGGCTTACTACAGAAGAGTCGCTCTACAGCGACCCAAAGCTCTGTTCCAGCCTCAAAGAGTCAAGCCACCAGGTGATGCACCCCTTTGGCCCATAAACTCACCACACGCGAAAAGTATAAAACGTTTTCTATTAAGCTATTGAAGGTCATGGTTAATGGTCAGGGTGACCCCGGCCACCCTCCTCTTGTACTAACTTCGATTGTTTTGTCCACATGCTTCATAGAGGAGGGGGAAGGTACTGTCAGTTACCATATGCTTTCGAAACCTTACCTTCAGAATAATTGTCATGATGTAATGAGTATGTTTTGGGTTTTGGTTTGGGGTTTTCTGTTTGTACCTAAGATGTAACGTCTAAAACCAAACTGGCCGACTTGAGCGTGCTTTACCTTTTAATTTCGAAGATTAAAGCTTTGTTAATGGTTGTTAATGGTTCTCCTTTTTTATCTGTGATTTCCTTTCTCCTCTCTCTTCCAGTTTTTCCAGTCACGGAGGATGCAGACTATAGAGCTATAACAGGGATCCATGTTGGTAAGATGTTTGACTTGTCCCACTCAAATCCCACTAATGGAAAAGGGGCCAGACTGCTACTCCAAAATATAACTCAGGGGCATTTCAACCTGAACGATCACAAAAACACACATATTTAAACTCTGTAATAAAAACCAAAAAAGGAGACCCTAGTTGTATTTTGCCGTACAAACCAGTTCATTTGGTGATGTAGTTCTGTGGTTTGTAGATTTAGAGGAAAGGAATATAACAGCAAATGTGGTTTCAGCTGCACAGTTTATCCCATTTGTCTTGATCTCATGGATTGGAAATAATGTCTTGTGTGTATTTGCATGTGTGCATGTGAGCAGTGCAGGATGTTCATATGGGGAAGTGCACTTGTGGCTGATTGTAAAAAGGCTCCTTTCGTCTGTAAAAGGAAAGGTAATTACAGATATTGCACAATATCAATTCAAAGAGTCGTGTACAGTTAATAATGTGCATTTCATCTTATCTGAGGCCAGATTCCACCTGAGGACAGAGCTTCAGACTCTTTATTTTGCATGTACATCCTTAGTGCTGCATGCATCAAGATCCTGCATGCATCAATCAGAGAAGCAGCTGAGGTATTTTGGTAGGTAGGCAGGTGGGTCTGTCTGACTGCAGAGAGATTCTATTACAACAGTACTGTGTTGCAACTTTGAAATATGTAGTCATACAACTTACTAAAGAGCTTTGTAAAGGGTGTTAGTAGAGTACTGTGTATCCATTTAACTCAAGTCTGACTGCGTGTGTGTATGTCATGGCAAAATAATGATCCATGGCACATTTTCTTGAACCGATTCTGTCACAAAGGCAGTGAGTAAAGCTTATTTTGAAACAACTATTATAAAGTGGCATCACGGTTAGCACTGATGACTCACAGCAAGAAGGTCCGGGGGTTCAAATCCAGTCTGTGTGGTGTTTACTGTGCATGTTCTCCCCAGTGTGTGCATGGGTTCTCTTCAGGTACTCTGGCTTCTTATAAGCAGAAGAAATATAAGCAGTCAAGAGGAATATATACAAAACAATAGTAAGGGGGTTGGCTGTAGCTCAGGTGGTAGAGCCAGTCACCTACTAACTGGAAGGTTCGATCCCAGTCTGCATGCCAAATATCCTTGGGCGGGATACTAACCCCATGCTGCTCCCCGATGCATCCAGCGAAGTATGAATGTGTGTGAATCAATTTTATTGGAATTCCACATGAAAGACCAATACAAAGTGGTGTACACGTGAGAAGTGGAACGAAAATCATACATGATCCCAAACATTTTTTACAAATAAATAACTGCAAAGTGGGGTGTGCGTAATTATTCAGCCCCCTGAGTCAATACTTTGCAGAACCACCTTTTGCTGCAATTACAGCTGCCAGTCTTTTAGGGTTTGTCTCTACCAGCTTTGCACATCTAGAGACTGAAATTCTTGCCCATTCTTCTTTGCAAAACAGCTCCACAACTGCCCTATGATGGCCTCAGAGGTTGTCTAAGAGAATATTGGGAGCAACAACACCATGAAATCCAAAGAACACACCAGACAGGTCAGGGATAAAGTTATTAAGAAATTTAAAGCATGCTTAGGCTACAAAAAGATTTCCCAAGCCTAGAACATCCCACGGAGCACTGTTCAAGCGATCATTCAGAAATGGAAGGAGTATGGCACAACTGTAAACCTACCAAGACAAGGCCGTCCACCTAAACTCACAGGCCGAACAAGGAGAGCACTGATCAGAAATGCAGCCAAGAGGCCCATGGTGACTCTAAACGAGCTGCAGAGATCTACAGCTCAGGTGGGGGAAATCTGTCCATAGGACAACTATTTATTTATTTATTTATTTATTTATTTATTTATTGTTTCACACGTGGTACAGCAGTAATTCATTTCCCATACACAACCTTCCTTTCAATTAAAGTAACACTGTTTCCATGCATGAAAAGGAGCAGGAAGAAGAATAAATTCTTATTGACACCTGCCCCCTATCTGTGATAATACAAGTAGGCAACCAAAATTACACTCTGACAATATTCTGCACATAACAAAAAACAAACCAAACAGAACAATATACTCAACAATGAGCAATACCACTAAATATCAAACTAAAAGGATCATTTTTCTACAATTAAATTCTATTATTTTCAACTTCTTCATATTGGTTTATCATTTTATTCTTACTATTAGTCGTGCACTGCACAAAGTTGGCCTTTATGGAAGAGTGGCAAGAAGAAAGCCATTGTTAACAGAATACCATAAGATGTCCCGTTTGCAGTTTGCCACAAGCCATGTGGGGGACACAGCAAACATGTGGAAGAAGCTGCTCTAGTCAGATGAGACCAAAATGGAAATTTTTGTCCTCAATGCAAAACGCTATGTGTGGCGGAAAACTATCACTGCACATCACTCTGAACACACCATCCCCACTGTCAAATATGGTGGTGGCAGCATCATGCTCTGGGGGTGCTTCTCTTCAGCAGGGACAGGGAAGCTGGTCGGAGTTGATGGGAAGATGGATGGAGCCAAATACAGGGAAATCTTGGAAAAAAAACCTCTTGGAGTCTGCAAAAGACTTGAGACTGGGGCGGAGGTTCACCTTCCAGCAGGACAACGACCCTAAACATAAAGCCAGGGCAACAATGGGATGGTTTAAAACAAAACATATCCATGTGTCAGAATGGCCCAGTCAAAGTCCAGGGCCCTGTTTCAGAAAGCCGGTTTAGTGCAAACTCTGAGTAAGTATACCCTGAGTTAACGAAAACTCTGGGTTTTCGGTTTCACAAAGCGAGTTTAGATTAATTCTGAGTGAGTTACTATGACGACACACTCCGTGAAGCTAACCTGCCCCCTAGCAGGTTTACTTCAACTAACCCTGACCTTCTCCGCCTCTTTGTCAGAAACCTGACTGTAGGAAGTGTCAGACATGGCGTGCTCCTTCCTTGAAGAGCCAGTAGATGTTGAAGCCCAAATTCTCCGCAGAGCTCTCCGCCGGGAAAGAGTGATTAGAGCGCGTTTGGACATTTTATCATTTCCTGATGATTTCCTGTGTGAACGTTACCGTTTTTCAGCACAATCTATAATTGATTTGAATAACATCCTCAGGCCTAATATTGCTCATGTGACACATCGCGGACATCCTCTCAGTTCTGTACATATTATTTGTATTGCACTTCGGTTTTTTGCAAACGGGAGCTTTCTGTATAATATTGGTGACGCTGAGCACGTTTCCAAGGCTACCGTCTGTCGGGCAGTCAGGAATGTTACAGTTGCACTGAAACGTCTCCTGTACACGTTTGTGGTGTTCCCCGGTCATAGACCCACAAGATTTATCAAAGAGGGATTCCACAAAATTGCAGGTATCAGGATGAACAAAACTTAATTTATGATGTGGTGATATTTGAACTACTACTTAAATTTTACATTTATTTTCAGGGTTCCCAGGCGTGATTGGCTGTATAGATGGCACTCACATTCCAATCATTGCTCCTTCAGTAAATGAAGGAGACTATGTGAACAGGAAGTCTTTCCACAGCATCAATGTACAGGTACATAGTTCCCTGTAGCATTTCAAACTAACAAATTATTTCATTATAGTAATGGATGCTAATTTGTGTTCTCTGCACTGTGAAGATCATATGTGATGCTGCCAACATTATCACAAATGTGGAAGCCAACTACTCAGCCTCTGTGAGTGGTGGTGGTGGAGGACCCCCACCTGTTTTTCGGGCCTCCACTTTTTTTCTAGTGGCCATAACGGGTCACATTTGAGCATACAGAGTAAGCAAATATGTACTTGTAATGTGCTCAGATAATTTCAATAAGTGCTTACAGAGGGGAAATTAATGTAGCCTCTAACTGCAATTGATTTACATCGGACAAACAGACCAAGCACTATGGCTCATAATACAATTACACCTTACCTGTTTGGACTATATTTTTATATTTCATTTTTACTTGCTGCCAGGAACGTTTGGGGCCTGTTGGGTTGCACCTGCGCTCACATCATGTCACAAAATAAAATGTATGAAATAAAAAATAAAATAAAATATAATAAAATAATGTGTTAAATGGGTGGGAAATCCCTAGATCAATGTTTAAATTAACACTCACGCATTGACTCTGTCGGCTATGTTTTGCCATGCATGCTCCCTTTCTTTTGCAGCTGAGGCTGTGTTACTTTTTTTCTGCAAAATTTGCATGTTATCTGCATATGCTGCCATCAGAATTTCGGCCTCAAGCGCTGTAAGATACATTGACCGCGCCTTCTTTCCCTCCGTCTCCATGGTGACTCGCTTAATCTGTGCTCCACTAATCAGGGCTTTATGTATCCTCGTGCGCGCGCTTAACTTGGGGTTAAAGCAACTCCGCGTTGATTGAACTAATTGTTATCAGCCTTTCTGAAACCGAATATTCCGAGTTGGACACTTCGGGGTTACTCAACCCCGTGTATCATTTTTAACTCTGAGTTTTCTAAACCGGCTTCCTGAAATAGGGCCCAGATCTAAATCCAATCGAGAATCTGTGGCAAGATCTGAAAACTGCTGTTCACAAGCGCTGTCCATCTAATCTGACTGAGCTGGAGCTGTTTTGTAAAGAAGAATGGGCAAGGATTTCAGTCTCTAGTAAAAAATGTTTGGAATCGTGTATGATTTTCGTTCCACTTCTCACGTGTACACCACTTTGTGTTGGTCTTTCACGTGGAATTCCAATAAAATTAATTCATGTTTGTGGCTGTAATGTGACAAAATGTGGAAAAGTTCAAAGGGGCCGAATACTTCTGCAAGCCACTGTAGAGTAGAAGAGTGCTCTATAAGAACCAGTCCATTTACCATTTAGAATAGAAAGGCAGGGGTTACTCAGACCATGGCTCAGATAAAGGCCCAATCTCTGCCTTTTTAAATAGTACGAACAGCAGCAGTAATCTCTGCTCTGAAGTAAAAGCTCTGAAATATATGGAGATGCTTTTCATTTGTCATATTTTCTCTTGTTAAATGACAAATATGTGGAAAAAGCTATTTTTAACCATAGTTTGTGTGTCTATTACTTGTCAGTCACAAGCGCCTTGAGTTAACTGTTTGATTTGGTGCTATAAAAGTCAAATTGAATTGAACTGAACTGAATTGAAAGTTGTTACCAGCTTTCATAATCTTTTATTATGAAATATGGTATGACCAAATGACCAAAATTTACAAAACAGACTTAATTTAATATTCAACATGACACATAATGAGTAACTGACACAGAAAGCTGTTTTCCAATACATCCAACCACAGCTATCGCCACCAGATGGCAACATCTGTGGTTGGAGATCTAAGGCACTTCAGCATTGACTTTGTTTTTCTGACCTGGAAGCTAAGTCCATGTTTTATTCTTGAGTCACAAACAAACAAATGGTTCCTCAGTGGAGAAGTCCCAAACCAGGAATCTACCAGTCCTGTCATTCAGTTTCCTTAATTGCTAACACTGAATCATTCAGTGCCACCTAATGATCTCACTGTATTGTTGGAGGGCTGTGATGCTACAGACACAACTCTTTTACACTGACCACATTGACATGAAGAGCTCAGGCCCAGCTCACAGCATGTTGTACGCTGGCCTGTTACTCGGCCTTATCACTCCTTTCCCGTCACATCACACTGATCAGTAAATCTGAAATATGTTTTAGTATCTCAACAAATGTGGGGCTGGGAGCATTTTCAGTCACCGATGATAATTTGCCTGCCAGAATGATTTAAGACTGACAAATACAAGATGGCTTTGTGCAGAGCGCATTTGATTTTAGGAAATAAGATTTGTTTTTTTGCTTTGTAAAATTATTTTTTATACAGTTTGTATAACCCGCATATTTGAGAGAGCTCATCATTTTAAATCCAGTGTAAACAAAAGCTTGAAATCATATTGGTATGTTTCTCAGAATGAAGCCTGGAGAGGAAATGGATAGACATGCTTACAAAGTGAAATTATGGTTGACGTCAGAGAGGGCTTGGCACCATCACTTAGTTAACATCATGAAAGAAAGCAAGTCTGCCAAGCCCGGCCCGACCACAGTCGCATGGCAGAGGCTGGACAGCAGTGACGCGTGACAGACTGAATTATTGTCTCTTAAATAAGACGTGTGCTGCTCAGGAGAGCAGTTGACACCAGATGGTTTCTTGAATTGTTTTCTCTTGTCCTTAATAATTCTCAATGCTTTTCCCTTTCCACTGTATAAAACAAGAGTTCTGGTCTTTGCCTTTTTTACCAAAACGAGAGCAAAATCCAGATGCAGGTCAATTAAGCCTAGATTAAATCAAGGCTTACGCAACTCTGCTGACTATTAATGTGTGAAAATGTGCTCAACATAAAAATTCTTCAGACTTGAGAAATAACTAGTAATGTTGTCGTCTTTAAGCAAAAAAAAAGAGGGAGCGACAGAAATGTTTTAGAAGATTTTGGATTCAATGGATTCAATGATGTGTATGAAAGGAAACACAAAGATGATGAAACAGTATGATCAACAGACTTAGCCATAAAAACCTTTATGCTACTTCTTTAATTTTATAAAGCACAGCTTTAGTGTTATGATTCACTTCCACCAAAAAAGCCCTAAACACAGATCTTTCCCTCAAGAATACGTGGCTAACACTAATAACGGAGCCAAACTGAGAGTTAATGTTTTCAACGTGATGAGAAATATTGCTCCAAATGTTGCCGTGTTGGTTTGCTTGCACATATACATAACTGTACACACCAGAGGCTTTGTAGCCCTGCCTCAAATGAACTAACCCAAGTTTTTAGGACCGCCATATATCTACAGCTACCTTTCCAGTTATACACCTTACTGAAGAGTCCCTGTGTCTCTTTGCCAGCTGGGTTAAGAAGGAGTTTCCGACTCGGTAGAAAGAGCAGCTGGGCCAAAGAAGCTGCTCGGTTCAGGAGATGGAGCGCCGGGGTACGCAGCTCAATTTGTCCACCTACCTACATAGAGGTGATCCCCTACCACAGGGAGCCAAAGGACAGACATCGAGTGGTCATCCTGGTTGGTATGTATGATCAAAAAAACAAAAAAGTGTATGGGGGGGTATTTTTAAGACGTTTTAGGGGAGCAATATGAGGCTCCATCCTTTGAAGGCCACAATTGATGGCTTCTTACGTCAAAGCAAGGCAACGAAGGCTGTCCAAATTCGAAGGCTCCTCCAGCCGAGGCCTACAAATGTGTCCTCCTTTCCCTGGGATTTGAAAGATGCATCAGGTGAATCCTTTTCAACCCACTCTATCCCAAGATTTATTGTGCATTGGTGGTTGTAAAACATTTTTTGGAAAAGAAAAATGGCAGATGGTCCAAGCAAAGCAGTCCAGGGATAAACTTTTAAAGTCAGCATTGGGTTTTATTGCATTTAAATATCCAACTGTTCCAAATATTAAATTAACAAAGAATCTTAGAAAGTTACATTTTGTCCAATTCAGGGGTGAGCAACTCCAGGCCTCAAGGTCCTGCAGGTTTTAGATGTGTCCTTGACCCAAAAAGGAGCTGATTCAAATGGCTAAATTACCTCCTCAACATGTCTTGAAATTCTCCAGAGGCCTGGTACTGAACTAATCATTTGATTCAGGTGTGTTGACCCAGGGTGATATCTAAAACCTGCAGGACACCGGCCCTTGAGGGCTGGAGTTGCCTACCCCTGGTCTAATTTATCAGCCACTCACTTCCGGCCTTCTCAACCTTCCTTTGTGTCCTTTGAGGGATGGAGCCCCTGAATTTGGACACACTTAGGTGGGTTAGGAGAGTCAAAACTCAAAAAAATATTTCATTCAGATTTTGTGGAGCTATCCAAGTCCAATACCTCATTAAAAACTAAAATCTCTGTCAAATGTAATTTTTATGACGAGCACTTGTATGATGAACTAGGCAGGAAAATTATGCTTTTCTTAGTGGAATAGAAAAGAAAGGATTAGGGAGCAGTGGCTATATGATTATGATTTATATGATTCACTGACATTCCTGTCTTGGACAAAACAGCCTCTGGGCTGATTGCTGATTTTTTTTTTCTAAGATGATGTTTAGTAAATGATTAAAGTCAACAGGGAGTTTTTGCTACTTTAAAGAAAAAGGAAAAAGCATTGCATTTTTTAATGATGATGAAAAACAATGAGTTTTTAAAAAAAATGCTGTCATAGTTTTGTTTTTTTTTGTAGTTTTCACTGGCACATTAATGTCCAGCTGATTCCCCTGGGTGTACAAGACTTATCTCTGTGTGTGCAATATCCACCCTGAACACACCCACGCTGTGTGGAGAGTAATTTTATCAAAAAATGCCATAAACTTGTAAAAAAAATAAGAGAGAGAGTTAAATAATGTGCCAGTGAGATGATGGAGATAACAGCATAAATATTTCCGTGCAGTTTAAGGTGTATTAGTCAGTTATATTCTGTTTTATATCATCCTGTAGCTTCCCTTTTTTTAGCCCTTGCAAAAATTTCAGAAATGCCAGAGTCCCATTTACGTAAAGCACGGTATTATTGAAAATGTTGTTGATCAAAAGAAAAACCAATGCGTTAATGAAGATTTATGTTCCCACTCATGAGCGCAAAAACAGTCCTTTCCCATCAGAAACACGTAAACACTGTCAGAAAACCCAAAGTCAGAATATACCGTGCTCTCTTAAGTTACCTAGCGGCCCACCTCAGATTTGCTTCTCTGCCAGCCCGGCAGGCCTGCTCTATGTATTTCTGAGCTCTATCTCTCCCCAGGGAATTTTAGATTGAGCCCCGCTGAAGGTCTTTTTAATGTCATATTACGATACAACTGTAGGTCGCCTGTGACTGAGGAGAACGGAGGGCAGACGAGAAGCGAAGAGACGGAAAAGGCGATAAAGAAAAGAGAAGCGAGAAACACAAAGAGCTGAAGAGGTGCAAAAACAATACCAGATAGAGAATAGATGAAAAAAATAAATAAAAGAATGGAGAGAAAGAGATGGATGGTGGAGACGATCCCTCATAATGTCAGCCAAGTGCTCCATCATCAACTTGGAACAGTTAAGACGGCTTGGATTTAGATTTAGACCTCTTTAATTGAGTTGGAGCTAACCCCGACTCGGGATTACGTTTTACTGTCTGCTGTGAGGGTTCTTCATTGACCGGAGGTCATCATTAAGAATATATAGCTTATTGGCAATGAAAGTTATAGACGGGAAAACCAAAACCTTGGATCACTAAACCAGGACCAGCTGGATGATGTTTGACCAGGTTTGAAATATATCCTTTCAGTTTGCACTGCATATGCACTTTGAATGAAACAATAGACCCCTATGCCCCAGGGAAGTTGGTGAAAGTGACTGCCAGCCACTTAAAGCGCCCACAGATCGTGTAACTCTTGAAAAGGAAAGCGTCCACAAAGCCCGATGATGCTCCTCTCCGGTTCTGTGCGGCAGCTGTGAAACGCATTAGAAGTGTAAGAGCGGAGAGTCCATAAACCTGATATTTTGTAATGCATCAAGCTCATGCAACCCAGTGATGGAAAAGGCAGGTATGTCAGGAATCCCACTTTCAGACAGAGCTCCATTAGAGTCTGATGCAATCTGGGGCTGCCGAAACCTGCTCTAGAAGAAAATCCCAGATGCTACAGCGCGAGTGTGTCTGTGTGTGCGCTTCATCCTGTGCATCCTACACTATAATGACATTGATACTGCGTGGCTTTGCAGATGTCACATTTAAGTGCAATCCTATGTATTTTCCAGAGGGTATAGGAGCGTTAAACGTTCGATGGGGGGGGCGCAGACAGACCCTGAAAATCTGACTGAAATCAGAGCTCTGTCTGACTGTCGCTCCCTCTCTGATGGTAAAGACAGATGCGTCATTTGATGTTGGGCTTGTGTTGAGGAAAACATTAGTACACATTAGTGATACTTGGAATGAATACCCACATGGAGAACACTGTGTTTTGAAAATTGTCTCGAGGGCCCAGCGGCGTTGGCGTTAATGAACTGAAGAGGAGGCTGCTGATCTCCGACCCCGACCGCTATGGCGTCACCGTACCCCGTAAGACAGACGCTTTCGAGTTCCTCGACTGTCATCTCCTGCACGCTAAAATGCGTTTCATCTCCCGCCTGCCGTGCTCTTCTCTTACAGACACCACACGGGAGAAGAAAAGGCAGGAAAGCGAAGGTGTGGATTATCATTTTGTGTCAGTCCACATGTTTGAAGAGCTCATTCTGAGTCACAGGTACTCCATTAGCATGTGTTCCCATGGTATTAAAATAATCTCGCTTGCATTTTGTCCACTCACTCTGTCTACTCTGCCGTTTTAATTGTTTTCATGTCTGTTCCTGTCCCTGATGCTTTCTGCCTCCAGGCTTATTGAGTATGGGAGTTACAGAGGTCACTACTATGGAACGAGTCTAGACTCTGTGCACAGAGTGATGGCAGAGGGCAAGGTCTGCCTCCTGGATGTTCACCCCAGTGTAAGCATTGTGCCATCCAAAAAGTCATGTGTCCCTAATAAACAGTTCACGCTGATTCTTCATACTAAATAATCATTCATTGTGAGCCAGCACCTTTTTCAGAAATGGAAATTTACAGTTCGGTTTTTGTCCTGTGGCCTTTTCACGTTGAACTAATAAAAGTAAAGTTTCCAAGTCCCATGTGTCACCACAAGGGTTTAGTTTTTTATTTTAGTTATGCTGGGAAGCCAGTGAGGGATCACACTGTACTTGCTTTTTTGCATGATCTGTGGAGCAATAGCATGAGCCTCCTCACTTTTTAAACCCTGCAGTTTAAAGCAACAAATAAGGACTGAGTACTCTGCTTCTATCAGAAGAAGAACATTCCTGTGTGGACTTTTCCCCAAGTTAGCTTTAGGATATGAGGGCAGTCCAAATTTGTGGAGGGAAAAATGGGATAAAATCATAGACTGTATATAAGAGATGAGCATTATCCAACAGGACATCATCTGTAGATCTTTGAAGTCCCACTTTGAAGCCTGACATTCACAGCTTGTTTTCTGGGAGCCAGAACATTTTGAACATGTAATTATACCGAGGGTGGGGTGCAGGGAAGTTTTCAGTTAACACCACCAAGTTTAGTGGGCAAAGTGACAGCATGGGTACACTGCACAAGAACAGATATTTGCTAAACACGGATAACTTGGGCAAACTGCTAGTACAACTTTATTATTCTTTGGTCATATAGGCACTAAAACCAAACAAGGTCACCAAGCAGGCTTTTACTGCCCCTCTTTTAAAAATAATCATTCCCCACTTAAAAATGAACTTTGAGCCATCTAAGGGGTACAAATAAATAAATAATAATCCCACAAAAAGTTATCATAAAGGGGGAAATTAGCGATCAGGCCAAAACTGTTTTTGAACCAGAGTGCTAACATGTTTTTACTCTGAGGTTAACATTTGGAAATGTTTGGGAATTTGAGGCAGTGCAGTTTTTGTCATTTCTTTCTACAGTTCTTTCTGTCAACCTTAGAGACTGACACTTTATCCTGTCCCTAATCCTATTGGGTTACACATGTCAGTGAGCTAAAAATTATTATTATTTTTTGAGAAATTTAACCGATCCTTTCATTGTTTTGCTGATATCTTGATTTTTTTTCCCCTGTGAAATCTAATGACCCCAATTCATTAAGTTTAGTTCGACTTCCTTAAAGAATTGGTTAAACATTAATTTTCTTAATTTTAATGAACAGAAATGAAAACAGAGATTGTTATGTTTGGTTGTGGTGAGCAGCTGTAGGACTGTGTTTCCTCTGTGTTGGCTCTCTCACTACTCTCACTGCTCGGATTGACCTGACTTGCATCGACTGGTTTTCCATTACAATCCAGTACTATCTAATGTCCATGGTTGTCGTCAAAGCAACACTGCAGAGCATCCCGTGACGTAATTAGTATGCGATGCGGAAGGCTAAACCAAAGTGGACGTCGAGCCAACAATATACCTGGTATTCTGTTGCTTCTCGTCGGACTCGGGAGCCGGGGCGTTGTTTTTTGTAGCCATTTCCCTCGTTTCCTGGTTTCAAAAATGGCAGTTTTGATCTTTGTGAATGAGACACTCTTGTGACTCATCAAGTGATGCCAGTGACCAGTCAATCGGTAGCATGGCAGTCTGACGACGTCACATTTTAGTACCTGCTTGGATTGCTTTTAACTGCGGCCAAGCAGGTACTATTTTAGTACCTGGTACTATGACTTATTGGAAAGCCCTGAAAACCCTGGCGAACCGTGCCGAGTCAATCCGAGTAGGTACTAATGGAAAAGGGACTTATGGGTCGTTCATTTATCAATCTGTTAAAAACTTGGGTGTTGACAGCTCTTTTAACTTGGATAAACAGATTATTTCTGTGATAAAACTGCTTCTTTTACCAGCGGAGATTATTGGCCAAAGTGCAGCCTTGCCTTTCTTATGACTCAGAGTCATACATGCTCTTATTATTGTATTGTATTGACTGTATTATTGTTATTCTTTGTATGTCGGAAAGAAATGGAACACAAAAACATGAACATATTACTCCAATTTTAGCTTCACTCCATTTGAGTTCTGTCAACTTTAGGTTTAATTGTAACATTTTATTGATCATTTTTAAGTTTCTAATTGGGCTGGCACCACTGTCTTTGTCTGATCTTAGTCATGCTCATACTCCTGTCAGAGCACTGAGGTCTTCTACTCAGATTATCCTCAATAGTCCGAGATTTAGCCTTTAAAAATAGTGGACACAGAGCTCTCAAATTGTGTCCCTGAGTCTCTGGAATGCCTTATTATTTCATATTAGAACTGACCAAACAGTTGCTACATTCAAGTCATTCCTCAGGACTCATTTCTACTCTCTGGCCTTCATGTCGAGCTAAATCTAGACATCTTGTAATTATTTTGTTTGTTGTTATTGAAAGCCTGTGAAGCACTTTGGTCAACCGTGGTTGTTTTAAATGTCCTATACCAATAAACTTGACCTTGACCTTGATGGTTTGTAAAAGCCTTTGGACCTTTGGACAAACCTTTTAATTATACGCTGTGTCACACTGCTCATTTTAATCCGGTTTTATATCGGATAGCAACGTTTCTGCTTGGTTAAATGGGAAATAAGTGAACAGTTAAAGTAAGATTTCTACTCGGCTCCACATGAGATGGTGAGACACACGAGACAATGGTTCTTCTAGGAAAAAAACAACAGTTTCTAAGCTCTCACAAGTAATTACTTTGCCACAGTTGAAGTAACAGTAGTAGCTTTACATCATGGGAGTTGGATAAAGTTATGATTTTGTGTTTTTTTTCTGCCAAACAGAATCCGAAGCTGTGGCCCAGTCTTCAGAAAACACATGTGTATTGTTTAGACAACATATTTTATTACAGATACTTGCCTTCTGTCTTCAACTAATCTAATCCTCTTTTGTTCCAACAGAAAATAAAGCGTGTGTACACGTCTGAATTTAAACCATACGTGGTGTTTGTCAAGCCACCGCGCATAGAGGAGCTACGCCTCACCAGACGGAGAGCTAAATTTGTCTGTGATGAAGAGGATATTAACCAAGTCAGGATCTTTTCAGTAAGAAAAAACACACACAGTCCAGCAATTGCATGGTGAACTAAGGTTCCTGTTCCATGTAACGACATGACAGTATGAGGACAAACATTGTGGCACACACCCCTAACTAACACACACCTTAGTTTACACTGGCCCTGTGGTTTGCATTTAGAAGACATGGGAAGTTACAAAACTGCTTTCTGATTGGCTCCTTCTCCAATAAGATAACATCTAAGGAAGCGTATTTGTGTCAGAGATAAAAGTTTCAGCTTATGTGTGATATTGATCATGATTTAAATGGGGGAAAAACTAAAAGAAAACACAAACAAAAACCTGTAACAATAAATAGGCGATAGCAAGGAATCACATTAAATAGGGAAACAAACTTAAATTATTCACCAAATTGATGTAGACTGAAGAGTCTGTGCATTTTATATTGTTCTGTTGAGTACCTGCTCACTTTAACCTCCTAAGACCCGAATTCTTCACGGCATGCATTTTTAATCTCTCTTTGCTATTTGGGCTGACTGGGATCTGATGAATGTAAAAACAAAGAATTACATGATTTATTTATTTTTTTACCTGATTTTTGTTTCTGAGAAAAATGAGATCCACATAAGAGGACATTCGCTTTAAATTTCAATAGGACAGTAGCAGTATAATGTCCTCGTAAGTGGATATCAGGCCGTTGTAGAGCAAAATTTAGTATTTTGTTCTAGACAACCCAAAATGTGATGTCCACAAATCTGGACGCAGGTCCTAGGAGTTTAAAACTGAAGCATCTGAAGTTGATGGGGCACAGCGGAATCAAAACATGCTAAGTAACTTTAAAAATGCCCATCTGAGTTCAGATTCATTGTTTGGCTACATGTGCCCAGGTTGCCTTTATCAAACCCACAAGGTGACGCAGCTGTGTTGCAGTAAGTTTTTGGTACTGTCCATTCAGAGTTGAGGCTCGTCTCAAAGGGCTGTGTTTTCAACTTGCGTGAAAAGGCTTCTTGTGCCTTAGCCGACAACTTGTCATATCCCGGCATAATTTTTGTATGTCTGCAAAAGACTGGACAAGTGGAGAACAAAAGAAGAAGTGACAAGCCTAAAAAAATATATACAACTGTTGATCTGTATCTGAAAGCCAGAAAAGGCCTTTGAGTTGATCCATATACTGTTTACTGAAACCTCATCAGACATCTCAGTGTGAAGTTTTTGGTTAAAATCGTCATCAATATTAGACAGAGGAGGTCAGGAGAGAGGTAAGTTGAGCTACAGCTGTAAAACACAGTGCAGGCTCTGTCATGGTTTGTGGGTTTAGCCACTAGTACTGAAGATTTTGTCAAAATTGACGGAATTATGAGCACAGAACCGTCAGATTTGTATGATGCAGTAACTTTTGGAAAGCATCTGTTTAGCAACAGCTTCATTTCTCAGCACCACAGTGATCCCAAACACACTGCCAATGCAGTAAAGTCACACCTGGATAGAAAAACATACAATGGCTTTCCCAGAGGCTGGACCTCAAATTTATTGAAGCAGTGTGGGAGCATCTTGATAGAGAAGGCAACAAAAGGTAGCCAACATCCAAAGAAGAGCTTTGAATGTCCTTCAAGAAGCCTGGAGAACTATTTCTGAAGACTACTGAGAGAAATGACAAGAAAGCTGCCTAAGGGAGTTTAGGCTGTGTTGAAGAATAAAGGTGGTCATATCAAATATTGACTTTCAACTGCGCAAACTGATTTTGCCAGTACTTCCATTTATGTTTACACATTTCAGTACATTACTGCACCTATCTCCCATTCTCCTGACAAAATATAAAGAAATGAGCAGTCATTTTGCACAACACTGTACACCACTCCATCTAGGGATAGAATCTTTGTTGCCTGATGGATACTGGTGACGCTATTTTCCTTTCACAGGAGGCGGATTTTGAGGACATGATTGACTTAGCTGAAAACATGGAGCGCCAGTACGGTCACCTGTTTGACAAGGTGATTGTTAATGGAGATATCGCCTCTGCGTTCAGAGAGCTGAGGTCAGACCTCGAGAAGATTCAGGAGGCACGGGTCCAGTGGGTGCCCACAGAGTGGAGCTTCTCCTCACCAACAAAAGCACGGAGAAGCTGTAGTCATCTGCCCAGCTGGATTTGAGATTTATATATGAAGTTAGTAAGAAAAACAAATTAATAAAAATATAACATAGCTGTATGTAATGTGTCATTTTAGAACAAACAACATGGAAGACTGAATTTCATATTTTAATCCTGGGCTAAACAACAGCTGCGATTTCTAAAGTTTTCCATATTGTCTTTTGTGCGCATCCAGTTAGGCAGAATCCATTTCTCCACTTCTCTCCATCTCTCTCTCCCTCCATCTGTCTCTGCTCCTGCTTTTCTGTTGGCATTTGGGTGAAAACATTTCAGTTTGCAGAAGAAGAACAAGAAGAAGGGGGAAAAAAGGAAACTCTCCAGAGCTTGTGGCTGAGTGTAATGCCTCCCTGCCAAGTCGCAAACATCAGCATGTAATTATTCTGACAGCTGCTGCACTTCAATTAACTGTAATGTACACCAGAGAAATATTATTAGTAGCAGTCAGGGAGGCTTTTTTTTGCCAGCTACATGCTATATGGAGCAGGGACACAAACACGATAATAATCATAAACTTTTGCTGAAGCAAGATGAAAAACCGTTTTATGATTGCGAACAGCAGAATGCTGCAAATACTGCAAAGACCCAAAGGTGCAGAAGGTCCAATAACTAATTGTTAAGTGCTCTATTCTGAAAATCACCTTTGTTATAGAACATTAACCACAACGAGGTGTCTTTTACCCGAAAACATATTGAGACAAATAAAAACAATTGGCAGAAACTCACCATTAGTGACACTCCATTAACAAATACTCATATTTGAGCATCACAGCTGGTCGTCGGGTACAAATTTTACTCCTCTCACTCACACATGGCGGGTAATCCAATGTTTTTATGACTACATTTCACTACAGCCGTGGTGTTTCCTTCCTCTTTTTTGGATGGTGTGCTCAATTGGGTGTGAAGGAGTGTTAATGGCTCTATCATGTCGTGTTTGCGAGGAAGAGAGAGCAGTGTGATGTGGGGAGACGGTAATGGCTTTCAAGGGACGTAGGCCTTCGTAGACGTACGGAGAGAAGTTATGACAACATATAAAATTGTACTTTAAAAACACAGTGAAGCTAGACGTAGTCGATCGGGCTGCAGCAGCAAAGGGAGCATCATCGAGTCTCAAATATTTATTTGTCTTTGGAAAGCTTATTGTAAGAGTCAAACATAACTGAGTGGACGCAGACAGCATAGATGCATCCACTGGTATGTCTGCATTTCTTTCTTTCTTATTTTCTATTTTAAATGCAGACTCTCAAGACAACACTCGACACTCTTGCCAGGTCTGAAGCCCAACCTGAGCCAAAGCCTGGCAGTGTAATTTCATCACACCGCTGAGAATCTGCAGGCACCCTCTGAGATCATAATGATGCCATTAAAGACACCAGAGTGCTCCAATGAAAACCTGCCGTTTTATGTTCAGAGTAGCTCCCACTTCAAACATTACACAGAAGTATGATGTCAATTGGTCTCGGATAATTTGGCTCAGTCGTGTAGCTGTCTATCTGAAGAATGTAACAATAAATACAACCAATGTTAAACAACATCTAGTTTGTTAGCAGGAAACGTTCATTACTTTTAAACAACCGACACAGTAAAGCACATGGTAAAAGTATATGGGAGATACTTACACAAACCTAAAGCAGGAAGGGAAAGGTTTTTAGTTTATTGCAGAATACTGTAGGTTTAGAGAGTCTTTGGCTGACTCATTTGTGCTGACATTAACCCAAAACAACTTTGCAACACAAAAATCTCAAAAAGACAATTTTGCAACCAATCAAATTCGAATTTTCACCTTAACTTTTTTGCTCTGTTTTGGGTCCAACCACTCCAGAGGCAAATGGCTAGCTCCTTAGGCGCTAAATGCTACACTGCGTTCATGAGCTAGTCACCAAGTTTGTCAGTTCGCTCAAGCATCAACAGATATGCTAACGCTTTGTGTTCATGGCCTTGGGGGGTCCTTAGGGACTAGTAAAGCGCTATACAAATACAGGCCATTTACCATTTTACCATTCATCAGAGCATAACATCATTAGCGTTGAAGAAATAATAATTGAAGAAATAGACTAAGTTTTATGCTAGCACTACCTATTTATCTTGGCGCTACAGTTTTTTGATTTTGGTTAGCACCATGTCTGAATGTACCGGGGAAATGCATCCTCTTCAGAAACTTAATTTGTCAGTTTATTGTTAATTGCTAACTAATTAGAGTACTTTGAGCTGCTTCATTTCCACTAACTGCAGTCTGTAAACTAAAACAATTAGCTAAAAAATGCTGAAATGCTAAAATAGGACACAGCGCCAGCAGCATGCAACAGAATCTACAACATTTGACAGCACTATCAATAATTGTCTGTTTGAACCAAACGGATTAGAAATAATAATAATAAAAAGAATGCTTGGCGATCTGTTTCTCTGCTTCACACTTTACTGGGTGTTTGTCCCTTTGGATAGGCCTGGAGTTTGTGAACCTGCACGACACATACACAGACACAAGTGCCAAAGTATCCAAACAAAGCGAGATATATATCCTTCCACTTGGATTTTTTTACAGGTCTCCTGGCTGCCAAATGTAGGCGTGTTCCCAGCTAATATCAACAGTTGAGCCGGTGAACATATCACAGAGGGACAGGAGTAAATGGTGTGAGATAGCATGTAGCCTTTTCCGACTGCTGCCGAGGAATGTGAGCAAGGAATTTACAGCACCTAACGGGGACGCTTCTGGTACATGTGTTTTTCAGCTTTGAAAGCACTGAAACTCAACCTCCCCTGCTGATAGTCCTGAATTATGAATGTGGATGGGACTTTTTAGAGTGCTTTAATACACCGAACAAGTGCTACTTGGATTTTAGCCACAATTTCCGAAGTTTAAACTGCAGCCAGGATGACCAAAACCCCATTTTATCACAAATGTTTGCTTAAAGATTATTAAGTTATGATTGTGCATGGCAAAGTCATCAGTGTATATCCAAACACTCTTACATAAGAGTGTTTAGAGGAAAAACATACGTGAATTACAGCTTAAGCCGAGCCATCCAGTCTTCAAATACTGGGCTCAGAGCCCACATGTTGTCATTTAGTTACACTAATGATGATGATGTTAGAGTTCCTTCAGACTGAGTTTCCATAATTATTTACAGTCCCGGTTGCTCAAAAATGGGAACCCACACTAACAAATATGCGCATTATCTTTGGATTAACCCTACTCACAGTGCAAAGGGATGCAATGCAGTCCTGACACTCAAATAAATACGTAGACTTTAAAAACTTTAAACCCCAGACGCAATACAAACTCATAATTACACACACACAGTTTAATGTCATTTTCTTGTGTTTGTGTGGCCTCTGTGGATTGGCCAATTTGTACTGAAATCCATCTGAAAACAGCAGGATTTGCTGCCTATCACAGGGCACAGCTCCGTGGTTTTGCTGGTTATAAGTAACCGTGTAATTACACGCATAAATTTCCAGAATCTCTTGGTAAAACATGTACTATTATTTGCTGACACGGTTTTTGGTAAAACCGCAAGGTCCACATGAATCATGTGCCTCATGTAGAAAATATGAGGGCATGTTGAACTGCTTAGCACAGACTGCAGTCACACCAAGCAAAAATCTCACTTGTAAATCTAATGACCGCATTTGCTGATATTCTTTTCATGTGCAATCTCGCTCAAACCGTCGGGTGCTACCGCTGCTCTGCAAGCTTTGCCTCACAGACCCCTCCACAGAAGCGATTGGACGGTGGGGGGAGCCAATAGGCGGCGGAGCAGCAGGTTATTTGAACTCTCCTCGCACAACATCATCTGACTTTTCAAACATTATTCTCCTCTTCTGTCTGTCAACGTCTGTTCCCGAGAGCACCGAAAGAAAAGCAAGGGACACTTTTATGTTTAACCTATTCCTTTTTACACCAAGTCTACCAAGAATGGGAATCTACTGCCTTTCTTTACATCTGGGAGTTTACTGATGCACCTGTTGATTGAGGAAGACTCGGCGCGTTTAAGAATGAACAAAGTTGCTGTGATGAAGTCTGAGCTTCACTTGGACGACGGCAGGAGAGCAGAGGAGAGGAACAGACTGAACTGTGCAGACGTACCTCAGACAAGTTTAGCAGAAGGACAGAGCGCGGACCTGCTGCGATGCCAAGAGTCCGCAGAACACAACTCTGCCATGAAGTACAGAAGATATGGGTATTTTATCACTTTTTTGCTTTTTTTTATGGCAGAAAAACACATTAAACCTATAAAGAATCTAAAATAATGCTGCGATCTCAGATCTTGTACTTCTTTGGATATCTACGCTTTGATTAAATTAATTGCATGACATAATTTAGTCAAATTTGACAGTGAAGTAGATCGAAAGTATTGCTACAGTGCTACAATCAGGTTACAGGTAAGCATGCTGGACAATGTTTGTTGACCTCTTACTCCTTCAGGTCCCGTCTGACTGGCGTAAAAGTTCGTCACAAAAGACAGGTGTTGCAGGACATGGCCCGGCCCCTGAAACACTGGTTATACAAACACCGGGACAACCCCTACCCGACTAAGACCGAGAAGGTCCTACTCGCTTTGGGCTCGCACATGACACTAGTACAGGTGAGACGAGCTCACGCAAGAAAGAAGAATGAAGCAAAAGTGATTTGAAAGATGTATTAGTGCTGATTTATGCGAGTCAGTGCTGTCCTAAAAAAAACACAGCGGCATCTGTGCAGGTTTCCAACTGGTTTGCAAACGCCCGACGAAGGCTGAAGAACACAGTGAGGCAGCCAGACCTGAGCTGGGCCCTGAGGATCAAACTATACAATAAATATATCCAGGGAAACGCGGAGAGGCTGAGCATGTGCAGTGATGACACTGACTCAGAGGGTAAGGACCTTCAGGGAATTAGTAGTTTCTAAGTCATCAGACTGGATGTACCCAGTCTCTCTTTTTTAATCATAGTTTGTAACATTTCATATTCACTGATATGAATCGATTTAGTGTGAAATCAGTGACAGCTTTGTTTCCTTTGCTGCAGATGAAGAATGTCCCTTACAGACTCCCATCAGCCAGTCAAACTTCAGCAGGTCATCATCCCACAAGAGCGTGCTGGAGAAACAAGGCAACATGCTCACCATGGCTGACTGCGCCAACAGTGATGACAGCACGTCCCCTCCTTCCAAGTACAAGAGCAGTTTACTGAATCGCTACCTGAACGACACCCTGCGGCACATGATGGTGGCGAAGGCCGATGGCGTTGCGCCAGCCTGCAAGAGAAGAAGCCACTCCGAGTCGTTCAGTTCAAACGAATGTGATGGAGATGTCGTCTCGCCTGCATCGTCCTATGAAACAGAGACCAACTTTGTCTACCATATGGGTGAGACCTGTTTCTTTTCTAACACAAATGCAATATCTGTATGTGTTAATACACAAATTTAGAAAGATGTGATGCAATATTAGCTTCATGCATCAATCAGCAATCAAAAACAACACAGTAGTCTAGAAATGGTAGGATCATCTCCCCCCATCCATAGAAATTACTAAAGCATCTTCCTTGTTTATTGTGGATTTATGCTGAATGTGAGGCAAACTGACAGTTTAACTACCCTGTTTCCCCTCTGTTCATTTTTAACACACCACAGTGTACAGTAAAGTAAGAACAGAACGAACAGAAACTTCCACATGGCTCCTCGGAGTGCCCTGATATTAATAAATCTCTGGCACTCCACTGAAAGTCAGAAGCTCTGTGAGATTCAATTATAAAGTTAGAGGGAAAGTGGGAGGGAGTTTGAAACCTGGGTGCCCTTTCAGACCTATAGGGAGCACAGCAAACTGACAAGCCTCGAATCCGCTAAGGCGCAAGAGCCAAAGCCTCTACAAACATTACTAATAAAGTCTCATGCAGACGCTGAAATCCCTCATTTTAAAATTGGATGGAGCTCGCCCTGGCTGCTGCTGCACACCGCAAATATCATTTCCATATTCTAGAATGTGCCATTTGTTCCGCTTCAGCTTCTTGCCATGGTGGAAATGTCCAGTCCAGTCTCAAGGACAATTACAGAATGTCTGAGACTTTATTCTTCCCAGGGTGAGAAGTGGAAACCTTGGCCAAATGCAGAAATGGAGCAGTCTGTCAGGACTACACCGGAGAGGTCTCATAGAGCGACTGTCGGTGCTGCCACTCATCTGTGAGACAGCGCAGAGCAAGACCACTAATATCCATTTGGCTTCCCCCTTCGGTGTTTGAAGTTGTGGCTTCGCTCTCTCGACTGCTATGTGCTTTGGCAGTCTGGTTCTCCCAAGTGTTACTTTCTTACTCAAAGTCAATCTAAATTTACATTACATTATAAAAGTTGTGAAAAGATTTTTGAAACCAATTCTGCTCTTTAGCGCTTCTCTTTAGTTTGACTCTAAAATCAAAAAAGGTTCTGTTTTATTATGTTAAGAGTAGTTTCCTGGCAATCACCTTGTTCCAGTCTAAAGAAGTTATTTAATGGATAATTTTATTTTCTGTGAAAGCTAAATTAAATGTCATGGCTGACTTGAAAAACCTGGGGAGTAAATTACAGTCTAAGAAAGAAACATATGTAGATAAATAAACCACTGAACTTATATTCCACATGAAATATAATGCCTTGCCTTAACTGTTATCAATCTAGACAGTATAAAATAAGGTAGGATGCCAAAAGACATGCCGCTTCTTAATTGTTGTTTTAATCGATTAAAACAGCAAAAAATATATTTCGTTGTTTTTTTTAAGTCACAACATTAGCATTTTTGCCATTGCCACTTTGGTTTACTTTGGCAAAAGTTCAAATATTTAGGCTAGTTGTTATCAGCTAATGCTAGGAAGCTTAATTAGCTGCACTTATAAACTATTCAGTAAGTGTCACTCACCAAAACTGAAGCACAAACTTCTTGAATGGGATGTAAAATATAACAGGTCATATTATCTTTTAGATAAATCCATGTAAAGGAACCAACACCCATTTCAGTGACTTAAACCTAGCAAACAGCTCTCGTCACAATGGCCATACACCTAACTTTAGGTCTTACTGACACCTTGAACAGTGAAATATAAATGAAGATGGGATAGATCAGTGTTGCCAACTCCTTAGTAAGGAAAACTGCTATTAAGATAATTGGTCATGCTTATGTAATTGTAACCTACATTGTAGGAGGGAGAAATAACATTGTGGAAGAGACATAAAGTGAATAAAAAAAACACCCTAAATGCATTTAGAATATATTTAGATCTACAAATTAAATTTCTTTTAGCAATTATTGTTTATTTTAATGTCAGAATTCCAACCCTCCTCCTTTATCTGGGCTTGGGACCAGCAAAAGTGACCCGAAATAGGTACTCTGGCGCAGCGACTTTGTGTGTTTGTGTGTGTGTTTAAGTAGTTTTAAACCTTGTGATCCACAAAAAGTAACAGTAAAAGAAGAACTGACTGCGTTACAGTCAGGGCAGGAGCTCATGCACGATTCATTTGGAGTTTGGAAGCAAGGTGTGAACATCTCCTGCTCTGACAGCAGCTGGGGTTGACTGCTGCATAAGGACTATCCGCTGCCTGTGAGTGCTATAGCACGGGCGAGGTACCAACGGCAGCACCCGCTGATTGTTGAGAGTAAGAGCGATATGTGCCTTCACGTCAAAAAGTCATCATAAGTCTCCAATAACATCAGCAAAAGTCGCCAGATTTGTCACTAGATTTTTCGCTAAATATAGCAAAAAGGTCGCTAAGTTGGCAACACTCGGATAGATAAATGAAGACAAAATTAGCTATAGCAACCAAAATTGTTAGCTAGTGTCATGTGGCCATCGAAGGAATTGCGTCTTTTTGCACTTCCACATTTCGTCCTGTTTCAGCCCTGGTTGTTGCTACTTGGTAACAGATCAAACAATACTTTGTAGTGTTACAAACCTATACTAACTTCAGGTTAAAAGCAATGGTGAATTTTCAACATTGAAAGGAATTCTTGTCAAATGACACATGCAACAGTACTGGTTGCTTACAGAAATGAATGTTCTTCTATCTGGCAGTCCATCATCAGTGAGTCAGGGCTTCTCTAAGCCATCCTACACTTTATAACGTTGTACTCCTCTTTATCTTAAAGTATAGTATGCCAAAACATGGCATTCCTACATGGTGGAAAGACACAACTAAAGGAATGTTACATTAGCTTTGTTAGCTAAAAGAGAACAAATGTAAATTCTTTTTTAAAAAATTTGACCAGTAATTATGGTTCAAATGCATTTTTCAGTCAATAAATCAACATTTTTTGTTTATAATTCAGTTATCTGTCTCTGCATGTAACTAGTTAATAGGCAGCACTATTTACAGAAAGAGTCCAAACAAGCTCAGTTATTTCGATCAACTTGAGCTTAGCTTAGCTGGTAGACATAGAATAATTCTTGAGGTCAACTCTAGTTCCCAAAATGCTGAACCATTCCTGTAAGTGTGTAATATACTCACTTGAAATTATATTTCTTTTGGTGGTTCTTTGAGGTTTTCATGATGTCATCAAACACTACATGCAGCGCTGCTGAAATGTTTTTACAAACTTTTAATGTATCCCTGACGGTCATATTAAGGGTGTTTTCAGCTTTTGCAACTCCTCTGTGGAGGTGAAGTGGAAAGTTAAGCTGCCAGCTTCATGACAGGCGCTAACACCATTAACACATTTAACTCTGCCCGGGAGACGATTAAAACAGTCACTAAACTCAAAGTGATTTGCTAATAGGTGATGCCACTACACACTAACCTACGAGGACACCTAAAAGATATCGGTTTATTTCCCACAGGCAGTAAAAGTCTAGTAGCAGAGTCTATGTTTGCAATGTTAATATTGGCTGTATAGCAATTTCTGTACTATATAATTTGACACTCACAGCAAGTTCAGTATTTCCCTTAAAAAGCCTGGAGGGTCATAAACTAGACTAGAATGAGGTTTTATTGGATGCGGAGCAGTGAAATGCATAACTACCTGTTTTGTTTCTAGTGAAAGCATAGATGAAGGTTTTTGTTTCGTATATGCAGTATTGTGGATCTGAATTATACATCTGGGAAAAAATTCATAATCACTGACACTGGGACATGTGAGCGGTTTTCAACTTATATTGTGGGAGAGCGCCAAGGTTTTAATGATCTCATGTAGATATTAATTCATTGTTTGGTGATCTGTTAATCTTTTATTACTAAATAGTATTGAGGTTTTGCAAACTTGTGACCACTAACCGCATCATTTTAACATGTCCACCATTTTGGACATGTGGCAATGTAGGATCGGGTGAATAATAGTCACTAGCAGATTGTCGCGGTCTTCCGTAGTTTGTATAAAGCACACCGGCTTATCTGAAAATACTAACTAGCTACTCTCTGTGCAGTAGTGAAAAATGTAACACGGACCAGAAATGGAGCCTGTGCTGAGACGCAACTTTTATTTAGAAGGCAAACGCTTTACTTTTATAGTTTTCAAGCTTTGCTATCACTTGGCAAGTAGTTAGCAAATGTTTGTGGAAAATTTGGTATCATACACATTAATGGCCAAAGCCACATCTTTGTAACTAAAATTACCTAGTGCCAGCCAGCAACTTCCAACAACCAATCTCCAACCAGGCTGTTTATACAGAGTTTTCCCTCATGACCGGTGGCTGTATGTGGCTGTGGCACAACCAATATGACCAAAAACTCTCAAACAATGTATACATGACAACATGCCAGAAACTTGCATAAGCTAGACAATGTTAACGCAAAAGTTATGTTACTTTTTCATATTTAAAGAAATTCAAATTTTTTAGTAGGTTAGTAATACGTTTAGCATGGTTAGCTTAGCTTAGCATAGCCCAAACAGTAGGGAAAACAGCCTCTTTCCAAATGTAAAAATGTTGCTTTTCTGAACTTATTAATTATACCATCTGTTCAGTCATATCATCTACACACACACACACACACAAAAAAAACAAATTATAAAAACATCAAATAGAGTTTTACAGGTTAGGCACCATATTGTTTTTAACGACATTGCTATGTAGCTACTACATGTTTCTAAACTTTGGCATTTATTGAAACAAATATAGTATATCCATCAAAAAGTGGATTTTGTTACCTCGAGACAGTTTTTACTGAGCTAAATTAACTCGCTTGCTTGCTTTAGTTTTATGGGCTATTTGCTATACAGACATTTGAGCGCCATCATTCTTGTCGTTGTACTCGGGAACAAAATGAAATAGTTTGTTTCTTTTTAATATGAAACCATCCCTTATATGGCCATAATTATGGATCCAACATGAAATGACATTGCATCACTGCGGGACAATGTAATAGCAGGGAGACGTCTCAGCAGCTTCACGTTACCCCTTGTAAAATTTTGTTGTAACTGATCTTTGCTGCAAATCTAAGACTCACCAGAGCTGAAACAATGTTTTTTCGGGGTAGTAAATACAACTGAAGTGCTAAACTATTTTACTGGCGAGGTTATAGGCCGAAGAACATTCAGTAGCAAAAGAAAAGCATAAGACAGCAAAATGATTTACTATCAACAAGTAGTTGCTTTTGGCCCTGGCCTATGTTTTTTCACAGTCAGAGATGGGAATGTTTCGGGCTGTTAGCATTGAAAGACTGTGTTGCACAGCAGACCTCTAATTTCCCTGTCTAGTCCTCTCTGAAGAAAAATCTGTTGACCAGCTTCAATCTGCTCCAGTGAAAATAGGCAATATTCCAAAGCTGAAATGGAAAATATGTTTTACATATAATGCACACTTATTTGCTGACCACAAACAGAAACCATGTAGCGATATATTACTGAAAAGTTCGTTTTTTTTCTTCTCTTGCTCCTAAAAATGCCCAGATTGTTTCTATTTAGGGCACTGACAGAGCAACTCATCCTTCTTTCTTTAACAGGTTTAGATGATGGTCGTATTAATTTATGTGACCCATATGGCTGTTAAAAAAAACATGAAAACAGGGTGTCCACAAGATACAGTGTACATTTAAGATTTTTTTCTCCCTCTTGAACGCTCAACACTGAATAGCAGTTGAATAGTTGAGGACAGACAGACCAATACACTTTTCAGCATGTTAAAATCCATCCAGAGACACAAACATATAAGAATGTACTGCCATTAAAACATACACAAGCACACACAAGCCCATGGGTATCCACAAAAAAACATGTATTTATCACTAATATATGATTCCAAAGCTTAATCCAAACACTCATTGTCCCATGACTAAACTGTCTGTAGTTTCACTGCTGTCGAGTCGAACTGATTCATGGCACGTTTTGAGTCTTTTTATTCTCTTTTACAGATACAAGCGACTACAATTCAACTAAATGTGACAGGTAAGTTTACTCATTCATTACTGAATACATACATTTTATAATCTCACTGAAATCAAACCACTAATCATCTGACTTTTATAAAGAGATGCTTTTTTGTTTTCTGTGGGGGGCTTTTGGCTCTGGATATTTATTTATTTATTTATTAACCTTTATTTAACCAAGAAGATCCCATTGAGATTAAAAACCTCTTTTTCAAGGGAGACCTGGCCAAGATAGGTAGCAGCAGATGTCTCACAGTTACAGAAATTACTCAAACACAGGCAGCAACAACACACATGCAACAATAAGTGAAAGAATACAAATAAAATAAAAATAAAATTCAATAAAATTCAAATAAAATAAAAAGTCAGTTAAAATGACAATCAATCTAATTGAAACAGTTGCATGTTATGGACTTGGCCTCAAGGATTCGTAGTTTAGATTTAAAATCACTTAATGAAATGAATTCAGTCATTTTCCATTCCTTCTGCAGTTTGTTCCAGGCCGAGGGTGCTAAATGGACAAAAGCTCTTTTACCAAGTTCAGTTCGGGCAAATGGAACAGAAAGCAACAAGTAACCATGCGGACGAAGAGAATACCGACCAGCATGTTTCATTACAAGCAGGGAACATATATAAGAAGGCAGCAACCCAAGTATCGCCTTATATATAAAACTGTATAAATGAGAGTTCCTCCGACTTACCAAAGCAGGCCATCCTACCTGAGAGTATAACTCACAGTGGTGAGTCTGAAATTTACAGTTAGTGATGAACCTCAGAGAAGCATGATACACAGAATCAACCATTCGAAGACATTGAGCAGAAGCATTCATATATAGAATATCACCATAATCCAGCACAGGCAAGAATGTTGCAGCAACAAGCCGCTTCTTTGTATTAAAAGAGAAACACAACTTATTTTGAAAATAAAATCTCAGTTTTAACTTCAGGTTTTTCACAAGATTCTCTACATGTGGTTTGAAGGTAAGCGAGTCATCAATTAAGATTCCCAGATATTTATAGGTGTGAACCAACTCTATTTTATTACCTTCAAGAGTGGTTACTGATGGGATTGTTTGGGCTCGTCTCCTTGATTTAGAAAACAACATGAGCTTTGTTTTGTCTGCGTTGAGAACAAGTTTAAGCTGATGTAATGAGTGCTGGACAGCAGAAAAGGCTTTCTGCAAGGAGTCGATGGCTTGGACAAGAGTTGAACCACAGCTGTAAATAACTGTATCATCAGCATAGAAGTGCAAGTTTGCATCTGGCACATGTAGACTAAGATTGTTTACGTAAATGATAAATAGAAGGGGACCTAATACAGAACCCTGTGGCACTCCGCTGTGCACTGTAACAAAGTCAGAACATAGACCGTCAGATTTAATGCACTGAGTCCTGTTACTGAGGTAGTTTGAGAACCATGCCACTGCTCTCTCAGAGAGTCCTGACTGGAAGAGTCTAAGTTTTAAAATACAATGATCAACAGTGTCAAATGCTTTTGACAAATCAATAAAAAGGGATGCACAGTGTTGTTTTTTATCAAGTGCAATAGTAATATCATTTACCACTCTAATTGCAGCTGTGATAGTACTGTGATTCTTCCTAAAGCCTGATTGATATTCAGATAAAATGGCATTGATGTGCAAAAACTCCTTTAACTGCTCACACACAAGAGCTTCAAGAACTTTGGCCAGCACAGATAGATTAGATATTGGTCTGTAATTAGTTAACACTGCTGGGTCGCCCCCTTTTAATAGAGGAACAACAAAAGCTGATTTCCATACTGAGGGAATTTTATTCGTGTCCAGTGTGAGGTTGAAAAGTGTTGTGAGAGGCTCTGCTACAAAATCAGCTGCCAGTTTCAAGAAGTAAGGATCTAGTAAGTCTGGCCCTGGAGATTTTCTAGGATCTAACAGTTTAAGAGCTTTACAGACCTCCTGCACAGAGAAAGGAACAAAGTTAAATGGCTGACCAGTGTACACCGGAAGGTTTGTGCCAGATTTTACAGAGACTGGGTTCAGAGAGTCAAACAAAGAGCCAGAAGATATAAAGTGCTTGTTAAAACAATTCATAATCTCCTTCCTATCATAAACAGGAACAGAATCCTTAAAAACATAGGTGGGTAGAGCGTGGGAGCTTTTACTCACTGAAAGAGACTTAATGATTTTCCAGAACTTCTGTGGATTATTTAGGTTCTCAGTGGTGACAGACAGATAATATTCTGTTTTAGCTTTCTTAATAGAGGAAGTACATCTGTTTCTTAGTTGTCTGAAAAGAAGCCAATCACTGGGATAGCCTGTTTTCCTCGCTTTGGCCCAAGCCAGGTTACGCTCATGAATGATATCTGCCAGCTCTTGGGAGAACCAGGGGTTTTCACGACCTTTTATCCTATATCTTCTTAATGGAGCATGTTTATTCACAATTTGCATAAACCCATCCTTAAAGAATGCCCACGCTAATTCTACATCAGGGATCAATCCTATTTTCTTCCAGTCATAATTTGACAAATCATGATAAAATGCTTGCTCATTAAAATGTTTAAGAGTTCTTTTAAAAATAATACGATGTTGTGACTTGGCCACTTTAGTATTTCTAATAGCAGCAACAACACAGTGGTCACTTAAGTCGTTACAAAAGACACCCAAAGATGAAAATTTATGAGGAACATTTGTCAAAATCAAGTCAATCAAGGTAGACTTTTCGGGGCTTTTGAGATTCGGCCGAGTGGGTAAATTGACCAGCTGGGTAAGACTGATAGAATCACAAAAAGATTTAAAATCATCTGAAACAGTTTTGAGCCAATCCCAGTTAAAGTCACCAGCTAGAACAAGCTCCCCATAATTTAGTCTGGACAGCAAAAGGTTTAAAGAACGCAGAGCTTCTGTGGAGGCAGAAGGGGGTCGATAGCAACAAGCAACTGTTATGCAAAGACCCTTTGCAACATTCACATTCAGAGCCAAAAATTCCAATTGTTTGCAAATTGATTCTGATAGAACTATTGTAGCATCAAATTTTGACTTAACATAAGCAGCAACACCACCACCTTTCTTAAACCTGTCGGTGCGATAGATATTGTAGCCAGCCATGCTAACATGTTCATCAGATATATATTTAGACAACCAAGTTTCAGAAATGAGGACAATATCTGCATCTGTTGATTGAACCCAGATCTTGATCATATCCATCTTGGGTAACAAACTGCGCACATTAAGATGAACTATCTTCAGCCCAGGTGAGGATTTAAATTCAGATGGTGTCTGGCTACATTGCAGCTCAGGGCCTGGGTTAGGTTGCACATTACCAGATAAGAGCAGTAGTAAGACGATCAGAAGTCTCTGCTTTGTACTTATTGATTTTGACGTGTGAAATGTTGACACAAAGCAGGATTTTTCGTAACTAATTTTGTAATTGTACAAAGCAAGAAGGTTTTGAAGATCAGGTAAATCTTTCTGTAGTTCAAAATGATTAATGTCCTGTTCCAAATACATTGGAAATTGTACAGGATGTATAGCAGCAGTGACGCATGTAGATCTGGGAACCATGTCACGCAGAATGGGGTCACTGTTAAATGTTCTCATCTTAGAAAAATTGAGTGTCCAAAAGTCCCCCACGGCCAATAAGCAAAGTAAAGTTATTAAAAAAGCCATTATCCAAAACACAATGATTGTTGATGCTGAATTAAATAGGCTGCACAAACCTAGGATGGCAAGTAAGGCTCCAGCCAAAAGTTCGGGTCCTGGTGGCTTGCTAGCAGAGCGCTTCTGAAATTGGCGTTTAGATCATTTTTTAAAGGAAGGCGTGGGTGATTATAAATTATCTACAAATGATATGTGTATACTCTATATGTATGTATGTATTCACAGGGACCAGCAGCCACTCAGAGGCCAGCAGAGACAAGATGACCAAGGCTGGAGGGAGATCCACGCTGCTGTGGCTCTGACAAGCTTGGCCCAGGGGCAGAGCTGCACTGCAGACCAGAGCAGTGCTCCAGTGTCCAGCGCTGCTACAGGGCAGAGCTACACCCGAGGGCCTCTCTCTGTAGCAAAGACCACTATCACAGACGAGATGAGCAACACAGGATCTGCCTCAGGTCTACAGCAGAGCTGTGCCACCGGGCCCGCTCTCACCAACCGCATCATCCAGAAATCCTCTCATATCTCTGAGGTCCAGACTGTCAAAGTCTCACTGGCAAACAGTGTGTAGGCATTAAACATGTTGTTTCATACAGGAAAACCAGACGTCCACGTGCCTTGCGATATATATATATATATATATATATATATATATATATATATATATATATATATATATATATATATATATATATGTACAGCCTCTGAGATCTTTGTTTTGTAATGCTGATTAACTTTAATGTTTGTAACCATTTTTAACACTAACCTAATGCTGTTTATTAGTTGTTACTGTTTTTTGCTGTGTTCCTCATGCCCCCCTCTGTTGCAGTAAGTTATATTAACTTCCAAGAGACTGGATCATCATCCAATGCTAATGTTTGACAGCAGCTATTTCAATAAACCTAATGTGAAATCCTTTGAATAGTCGTGTGCTTAGAGTAATTTCTATGCACAGTTTTGTTTTGCTGAGCTGTATTTAGTCTTAGTTTTCACGTGTGCAGACGTACGTGGTGAAGTTTTACTGCATCGTTACACAAAGTGGATTTTAAAAGGGTTGTACTGATGGAAGAAGAGTGTTATAGTGGCCCAGGGAGACAGTTCCTGGAGGGAACATGGAGGGAAGGCTAGAAACAGACATGGGCCAAATCCTAGTTTCCTGTTACAAACTTGGAGCTGCCATGGTCAAAGGAGCTTGCAAAGAAAAGCGTCTGGACTTCTTTAAGTTGCTTGAAGACGTTTCACCTCTCATCCGAGAAGCTTCTTCAGTTCTAAGGTCAAATGGTGGAGAGTCCCAGATATAAACCTAGTGGAAGTATCCCCCCACAGAGGGACAAAAGGACCCCCTGATGATCCTCTAATCCCCTGAGCCAAGGTGTGAAACTGGGTGTGGGTCCCAATCAGCCAGAGTTTCGGGTGAGTTCATTGTGAAACCTGGCCCCACCTTATCATGCGAATAAGCAAGATAATAAGCAACTTAAAGAAGTCCAGATGCTTTTCTTTGCAAGCTCCTTTGACTACGATGACCTGGATGACTGAGAACCTTCACAGACATATTGGAGCTGCCATATTAATACTTTTTTAAAAACAATGGTTCCATTGTCTGATGTGAATGCGTGTTTTCACAGTGATGAAACCACAGCATTTGGAGCTCTTTGAACTCACTTAACTCATTGTTTTTGACCTTATGATGCATGTCTTCAGTGTTTTAGCCAAACCATAAGTAGATGTTCTTGAAGAGTACTGGCCACACACTAGACATGGATAGCAGCTATTTAGTGAACAAGGAAGAGCTTAGCATCCAAAGAGCTGATCATGTATGATTTCCTAAAGATGCTAGTTTGTGCTAAAAGAACAGACACTGAACAAGTTACCAGAAACACATCACCCAGTGTGTCTCTGTGTTTTCTTCTCTTTCCCCTCACTGCCAACATTTGTGATGGATAGGTGCCCCTGCCTGGGCCACATTCAGCTGGAGGTTTCTTCCTGTTAAAAGGGAGTTTTTCCTTCCCACTTTCGCCAAGTGCTTGCTTATAGGAGGTTTGCGTGATTGTTGGGCTTATATTACTGTTGGTTCTTTACCTTACAATATGAAGCCCTTTGAGATTATTTATATAGCACCACTTCCCATCAACAAATTTGTATATAACTCTATAGCTAACAAATCCCCATAACCATTTACAGAGAGATAGTAATGTTGTAGTAGCAATGTACACAGAGACCCCACCCAAGCAGCTCGAATGTAAGGTTTTTGTTAAGTTTCAAATGGAATTGCCACTGTGGTGTCATGGAATAATAACGTAAGCTGCTCTCAATAGATGTGCTCTCTGTTTTAAAAATCAACCTTTTCATTTTCCTGGAACAGCAAAGATCACAATGAAACATTCACAAATGTTTTTAATTTATTTTATATTGAATGACATTTCAGGAATTCTATTTCCTCCACACACGATCAGCTGCAGAAAATAAATAATGGAAATACCAAGTACCCTTCAGGCTTCAGAAGAAGGTCTCGTCCTGTTGCATCTGGGGACATCCTGACATCAAGCTTGTAATCACATACTGGAACTTTTTTTTTTTTAAACAACATGATTAACTGGATTTTTCCACACGTCCCAGTTTTGGTCTGTTTTTTTTTTGTTTTTTTTGTTTTTTTTGTTGCAAGGAATGTTTTCAGTCTTACATGTGCAGGAGGCTAGTCATCAACAAAGTATTATGGAAAGAGCGCCTCACTTGAAGTTTCCACTGTAAACCTGCTTTTGATTAGGTGGGCTTCTACACAACACGGAAACTAAAAGGCAGATCCCACAGGGCCATTAAACAACAGACACAAGTGACGGCATCTTGAGGTTTGTCATTTATTTCAGTTTGAAACAATTCAAACGTTAATTGACCATAACTCTAGCAAATGCATCTCGATATTAAGGCAGATATCGATTTAACATATTACTTTATATGATTGAAACAGATGCACAGCAAAAGCAATGGGGGAGCGGGGGGAGAGAGAAAGGGTGTAGCAGGGCGAAGAGTTCAACATAATATTTTATCGAGAAAACAGAAACAAACAGCAAAAACACATCAAGTTCATAATATACTGAAGATGGGAAAGAACACAGCTATGTTAAGTATGAAATACCTTCAATAAACTTGGACAACACTAAATGAATCCTTCAAAATAAATGCGAAAACAAGATCACAAGGTCAAAGTTTAGTATTAAAAAACAATCTATGAGCTCAAGTGCATAAAAAGGTACATTTTATTGCAAGAGCTCGTGGTACTGTAAACTTTACACTTGTAGCTCTAGAAGTTACCGTCCAGATCACGCATGCAAAGACAGAGATGGGTTCGGTTACAGGAAATCCTGCAAGACAAAGTTGATCACTTTTCTTGCACATTTTCACGCCAAAAGGAATAAACACAGGAAATCAATTAGTTTGAAGGCATCTAAATAGTCTGAAGCAGAGAATCGACATAATAGACAAACAGACAACACACGGGTGAACAGAAAAGACAAACTGATATCAGTAACTGGGTGGTGGTTGGGGTGTCATTGGAAAAGGTTAGATTTTTGAGAATTCACAGTGTTCTCATGTGCACTGAAATGAAAACCTGCATTAGCCTGGATGTTTCCCACCCTAATCCTCAATCCAATGCTATAGTATGCGTTTAATAAAGCTTCCTAATATATGTATGGCAGAAGATTTTGTACTTTGCAGCTACATAGAAGGTGAGATTTGTTTAGAGATGAAGGAGACTTCAATTAATTTATTAGATTAAAATCTGACAGGCTGTCTATTCTAACCACAAAATCGGTCCACGCTGAAAGAACTGTGTAACCTGAAGTCTTAATGTACAGCTGAGCCACCAAGATAAATTCAAACCATACATACTCGGATGACAGACTCATACTCCACGTGGTTAATTTAAAACACCCACCTCAAACACGAGGCTCTTTTTCTGCGTGATTCTTTTAAACAGGAAGTAGTGATATATAAGTGATGGAAAAGGAAGTGTGCAAACAGCAGTGTCTGTTCGACCGACTGACGTACTCCCGACAATTAAAAGGTGCTCATCCACTTCCACCTCTCGCTCACTCTCCGTTTCCCGTCACTAGTCAGTCCTCTCACGTCTGTGCTTTTTCATTTCAGGGTATGGAACAGTATCCTCCGCACGCCCCAGGCCTGGCATGCTCCTGGTCTCCCAGCCGAACTTTCTGACCCTGGTTTTCGCTCTCCCAGAGCCCCGGAGTCTGGAGGATCTTTTCTACCAACTCCTCAAAGGCACATTGGACGCCATCTTTGGTCTTTGCACTGGCCTCTGTGTAAGGGAAGAATTTAAGAGATCAGTAAATAAAGTAAATGTGAGCATTTTCCAGCATGCTACCAAAACTAAACATATCAGTCAGCTGACAAACATGACTAATAAAGTATAAAATGACTTCATAAAAGCAGAAGTCATCCATCAGGATGAAGACATCCTTGCTGCAGATGAAAGCTTCAGATTCTTCTTGCCCTGCCCTTTTCAAAACCCCTTATTGGCCGTTCTAAAATGGAAACTCTGCACAAACCTTAACCTAATTTACCAGAGAGGGCCAGATTGGAGAGGAGAATCAGGAACACGTGCGGACATGGATTTGATAAATGAAAGCTGGCTAGATTTTAATCATAATGCAGCTCGTCTGAGTGGCCGCGTCTCTCAACAGCAGAGACTCAGAAATGCGCGAGCAGTATAAACAGCACAGCTCATCTCATCTGAACTACACGCATGACTAACTCAATGATGTCTTGGCTTGTTCCAGCTGTGCACTAACAGTCCTGACTTTTAAGCAGCACTACGGTAAATTCTAATAGCTTTAAGTTACATTTTATGCCTCTCTTACTTTAAACGAGCATGACCGGCCACGCCTGACGTTACTCGAACACAGAAACTCACCGATAAAAAGCATAGAGTGTTTCCGAGCAAACTTCAGCCCCTCGTTTCTGTCCACTTCGCGGTCGTCCTGAATATTAAAAAATAAATAAATAAACATTTGTCATTTGCCCGAATGGTGAGGGAGAATTGTGTACACATCATAAAAGTACAACACAAGACAAGCAACACTCATTAAAATGCACTATTCTAAGGAGCTCGGAAAGAAAAGCGTCTGGACTTCTTTAAGTTTCCTTGAAGACGTTTCACCTCTCATCCGAGAAGCTTCTTCAGTTCTAAGGGGTAATTGGTGAAGAGTCCCAGATTTTAAGCCCTATGGGAGTGTCTCCAAGAGGTATAATGCCCTCCGCTATCTTATGTGAAGTGGTCACATGACTGCATCATATGACTAACATGCATCATCGTTTTCAAAAGTCTGCGTTTTTGCTGTCCACACTGATCCGCGAAAGCTCTGTTTTGAAATGTATGCGTTTTTGAGAGCGTTTTCAAAACGCTGCCTTTTCCATCAGCGAAAACGTTGTCTCAGTGTGGACGGGAGGCCGAAACGGAGAGAAAACGATGCGTTTTCAAACGACAACGCATTAGTGTGGACGTAGCCTTACTGAGGTCAGAAGGCCAGGATGTGAGGGGGCGTTAAGGTGTCTGGGAAGGGATCTCCAAACTGGATTATAGATGG